CAAATTTGAATAGACGTCCATCATGGATTCAAAGCTGACACACCACTTCGTCTAGAATCCTACGTCAACAATAAGAACACTAACAATACAAACATTAAATTTAAATTTAAAAAAAAAAAAAAAAGTAACATGCAGAGAAAAATACTAATTTGAATACTTGGAATTATTTGAACTTTTCAGTAATCTTCCCATAGGAAGTAGCACTGGTTAAAATTGCTCATGTGTTGTATAATGCACGTATAGTACTAAAAGTTAAAACAGAAGTATAAAACCCAAGTAAACGAGTTAAGCATTTGATTCCTTGCCTTTCAAATTAGAGTAAGATATAGTGCATAAATTTTTAGTATGTTACATTATGAAATGAAGAAAAATTTCAATGAGTTTGTCCTACATAAAGATTTTAAAAAGCCTCAGAAACAGAGTATTTAATAGAATGATCTGATGTTCAAACATTCTGAAAGTAGTAATTCATCAATTTATGTTGCATCAACAATCACTCAAGACAAAGTAAAGTAAAGATAAATAATTAAAACTCTAAATTTTTTCAGATGTGTTTTTATCTGCATTCGAATTAAGTTGGGATTTTATTACAATCTCAATATAAAGTAAGATCACTATTCTTTCAGAAAATGCAAAGAGAATGACATAAAATTGGAAATCAAAGGGAATAAGAAAACAGGAAGGAATTTCGGCAAACCTTCAAAATCTACAGGTCGCCCATCTTTAAAGAATCTTTTTTCCAGCTCTGCCTTAAAGAAAACAACAATTTTTAGAAATATAAGTCAGATATTAAAGACCAGCAAATAAAATGCCACATAAATATATTTAAAAACTAAATAAAAAGCAAAGTCTCTACTTCTTACAAATACATCTCCTTTATTTTCTTAAACAACCAGTTGAATAAACTATAAAGATAGCTATAGTTATCTCCTTTTTAATAAAAAAGCAATGGCAAAAAACTTAAATTATTAGATTACTAGAGGTCTGTTTTTTCTTTGAGATGGGTTTTAGAAGGGAGGGAACAAAATAAAGACAACAGGAGAGGAAGAAAGAAAGGGAAGAGGAAGCAAATGGTGGGATTTAACCACATTGAGAACACAGATAATTGTAACCATTTACATATAAAATGACTGCAACAGAATGCCGCTTCAGAAGGTGATTGCTTATGAAAACACAAAAACTTAACCAAGTATAGTCCCTCCATGATGCAAGTCTAGTAACCTTAGCAAAATCTTGGGAACATAGGCTAATAAGAAGGTAGCCATACCTCATCAATCATACCCTTTTCAAACTCTAACCATATAGTTGGGTGCTTGAGTTCAAGTAGTTCCTCCATGGACATTCTGAGCAGTGAATTCCCATGCAATTAACTAAGGCATCATATTAAACACTAATATACATATGTATATACCTTCCAATAATATTCTGAAAAAGAAAGAGATTACATACAAGTAGAAACTACAACTTATTTTATTATAAGGTTCATTTCTTTGGTCTATTCCTGTTATATTTAGTAAATATGTAGATTGCATTGACAAGTTTGAGTTTATGAAGCCTGAAGTTGGGAAGTCCATTGTGTAATTTGGGTTTGAATTGCACAACGATTCTGCTATTAAAACATAGAATTTTGATTTATGACTATAATTTGTATATGTTGTGAGATTAACAAATCCATAGTTGATAGTCCGAGCTCCCAATTTCTCAAAATCGAGTCACACAATTCAAACCCATAAGCTAGAATTACTTCGTCTTCCATTTTTGCATTTCATCCTGAGTAAATTCCCACTAAAAATCAAACAAGAAAACGAAAATCCAAGCACCTGAAAAAGGCGGGAACATCATCATAGAAAGGATCACGAACAACGGTACCCATGATGTCAAAGAGGAGAACAGGAAGCTTCCCAGTGCTTTTGCTACCACTATCGGAGCTCCGGCCAGTAGCCACAGAAAGAGAAGACGAGAAGACTTTTCTGCCGCCGCCAATGTCAGGATCGTTGGCGCGGAGGAGGGTGTGGGTGGGATTGGACGCCATTTTTGATGGGTTAAAGGTGGGTCTGATTGGGGAGAAGAAGGCAATAGGAGGTTTCCAGAGAGAAGCCATTAATCTTGGACTGAGCTCCAAAAATGGCAGCCCCAAACCATTGCTGGATGGAAATGGGGTCCGTCGTTTTCAGAAATTCTCATCCTTAATTTTATATTTTGGACGAAATTATAATATCTCTGAGTTTTGTTTCATCTGCAGCAGTCTGATCCATCACCTTCCAAGAAAAAAAAATTGTTCTTCTTTAGTTTCTGATCTATTTTATTTCAAAGTTGTTTTAGATATAAATCTGTTTTATTTTTTACCGAACTATTTTATTTTTGTTTTATATTCTTAAAAATTAAGCTTATAAATATAAGTTTGAAAATTTTTTTCATGCTACTCCCTTGATTGTTTGAAAAAGTAGGAAGTATTTAAGATTCGTTTTGGATCAAAGTTTATCATTTAGTAACATAACAAATTATTTCTAACTAATAATTTGACGAAAAGGGTCTCGAAGATGAATGCTGTAAGTATTTCCGGTTAACCGTCTATTTCCATGGAGGAGTTGAGGAGGGATATATATATGAGATCATTATAATTTCATAATCCTGGAATCCCTTCCAAAGGTCCGGATTTGAACCAATGACTTACACTTTACCATGGCGGTAAAAAAACAAGATTTTTTAAATATGCTAGTGTTTGTCTATATTTTTTCAAAAAAAATTATAAATAGAAGGAGCATATATTTCTTTAATTTAATTGTGTATTTTTTTAAAAGATGTTTTTAAAATCTAAGTCAAATTTTAAAAAGTTAAAAAAGAGATTACTTTTTAAAACAAATTTGGCAAATAAATAAAGTGAGTTTCAAGAAAAGTGTAAACTACAACGTAATTTTCAAGGAAACAGAAACTAAAAAAAAAAGTTATCAAAAGATATTTATTCTAGTTATTCAATTTTCAAAAATTAACCTTTTTACTCCTCTAGAATAAAAAAAAATTTGATAAAACCTACAAAATAAAAAGATTACACACCGATCAAATGCTTGAATTTTTAGTGAAGCACATAGTTTACCCTCCATTAAATAAGAGGCCAACGCCTAGAGTTAATAAGGTATCTTCTTCGTTTTTAAAATTCTTTAGACGAGGAAAATTTATATTCTCAGTACAATTTGAATTCCATAGATAAAAACCATTTAGATTTTTAGATGGGAGAAACTATTATATATTTCTACCCTTAAAAACTTTAATGATATGTATTAATATAAAAAAAATCAATGAATGTGGATAAAATGAATAAATAAACAAAAATATAACATATAAGAAAGTCATGAAGCATGAAGCATGAAATAATAAATATATATGATACGTTTAAATTATCATACATATGAAAATAGGAAAATAAATAAAAATTGTGAAAAAATTAGCTGATGGCCTCCATAGACAAATTATAACCTTGAGCTTTCTAGTAAAACTAGAGTGTTCTTGAATCATATTGAAAATTTGATATTCTGCTAATCTATCAAGAATTATCTAAGTTATTGTAGAAAACTTGAAGATTTGTGCTTTCTTCGAATTGAACAATCGCATGAGATGTCTTGAGAAATAATTTCTTGTAATTCCATGTTGGAATAGACACGATCAATCTTGTGAGAACACTGATAAATGTTATTTAATTGAAAATATTTGAAYAGTAGATAAGATTAACTCACAAGACAAACAACTTTAACAAAGTTAAAGTGAGAGAGAAAGGTAAAGCATAAATTATAGTGTATGAATTACATGAAATAAAACGTTGAATAAATTTGTGAGAGGCAAACGGAAAATATAAGAGGTACAGAAGTCAAGCAAATTCATCCACCTTTGAAAGAGAGAGTTTATACCATCAACAAGTTTAAAAGCAAAAGTTAAAAGCTTTACCATTTTTTCTTTGGAAACTCCACTTTTCATTCAGATAAATGAAAAAGAGAACAAAAATACGGACATACAAAAATAAAAGTAAAAGTCGAGCAAGGGAAGCTCTAGCTAAAGAAGGAATTCCAATCCAATATGACCTAACTGATAATAATACAAAACAACTTCGAGACAGAGCCCCATAAAAACCTGATGAGATCCCAAACTGCCCCGCTATCTCTCTCCACCCCTAAAAATTATGTTGTTCCTTTCCAACCAAATTCCCCACAATATCCCAAAGAAGTAAGCTTGCCACAAAAACCTCCCTTTCTCACCGAAAGGAGAAGACGAAAGCATTTCCTCTGCCATTACCCCTCAATCTCTACAACGGACCCAAGAAACTTCGATCATCTCAAAGAAACGGGTTTAAATCTTCTGGGAAAAGGCTTTACCATTTAAAATAATTGGATGAATCTTCTCAATTTACAGCAACGAGTATCAAGAATATCCAACTTCAAAATAATTTCTCCAACGTGCTTACTAGAATTACTGATTAGGTAGAAAAAAATTGAAGATTCCTACCCCTTTAAAATACCTTATGAATTAGAGGTTCAAATCTTCGATCCTACATATTCCGTAACAATGGCAATACCAATAATGACTATAAAATATTGGCACATCAATCTCATGTTTAATTTATTAATTGAAAAGTATTCAAAGATTGCCACCTTTTGCATTAAGAAATGAAGTTTTGAATCACCTTAGTATCTTCATTGGTCCATTTGTTCAAATAATATTCTTATTAAATTTTTTTCCAATTGGAGGGTTCCAAGATGGGAATGGGAAAATTAATTCTAAAATTAGGTTTGAAGATCTATATTGAAGATTTAGTCTTAAAGATGCCTATCTGGATCTCAAGGGAAAATGATATTTTAATATTTCCCTTTCTTTATTGCCTCAATTCTTGTATATAACCCCAACGTGTAATTCAATTGGTTAAACCATCAATCTCCGACTAAAATGTCATGAGTTCGAATCTTCACCCCTGTTGTATTAAAAAAATATATTATATATAACCCAAAGTTTAGAACTCGACTTTATATTTAGTACATAGACTGTTCGTTCATGAAATATTCTATCTTTTACCCTGCCTACTAACGTTTAGGAATAACAAACTCACAAATCAAATAATAGAACACCATTTTATAACATATTTATTTATAAAATCTAAACACACATTACACAACTTAAAATTTTCGAATTTTCAAATTCCAAGCCTTGCTTTGGCTAGCCTCTCTCTCCCGCACTAATTTTATAAGATATTAATTTTTAGGTTAAAATACTATTTTGGTCCTTGTACTTTTAGCCTTGGTCTATTTTAATCCATATACTTTGACAATGTTCATTTTGTTCCTATACTTTTAACTTTGGTTCAGTTTACTCCTTATAGTTTGAAAATGTTCAATTTTGTCCTTGTACTTTTAAAAAGTGATAATTTTAGTCCCTCTTCGCAATGTTTTAACACAAATTTTACACATAATAGAAACTATTTAATACAAAGTAATGTTTACATTTTACGAAATATATTTACTTTAATGTGGTGTTGAAATTGCGATATAAAAAAATAAGATTTAAAATAAAATGAAAGGACCAAAATGACCACTTTTTAAAAGTACAGAGACCAAAATGAACATTCTCAAAGTACATGGACTAAAATTAATCAAAATTGAAAGTACAGGGACCAAAACGAACATTTAAAAAKTATAAGGACTAAAACAAATTAAATCTAATAGTACAGGTATTAAACTAGTATTTTAACCTAATTTTTATAATTCTCAAGCCTTGGTTTAGCCTCTCTCTCCAAAGATTCACAACATTAAATACTGAAGTCTCTCACCCACCTTGTAGATCTAGATCTAGATGGTTGCCATAAATAAACTTTATTAAGGTGTAAAATTAAAGAAATAATGAACTCACTACAAATTGAGATGCTAGTTGAATTTATAACTATGACCAAATACTCTTAATTCTCTGCAATCATGTAAATAAATGATTAAAAATTTCATATTATAGATGATATTGGAGTAGGTTGACAATTTTCATCTTTGCTCTATTTTATTTTCCAATATGGAGAATTGGGACGACTCGGTGAAATTTCTATTTGGGGATTGAGTTATTCACAGGAGAAGTATTAAATTTTCGTCCACAAATCGACATTTCTATATGTATGGATTCGACATTGGTATGAGAAGGAAATTGACATGTCTTTAGTATTGCAAAAAATCGACAAAATATATGAAAAATATCACTAATATGAACATATTATTAATATTAATAATTTTTAATTTATTTAAAAAAGATGAATTGTTTGTCTTATTTTAAATATTTGTTATGAATTTTTTATTTTTATAATTTTTCCAAAAATATCTATCCGATACTTTATTGATACTTCTATCGACATTTCCATAAAATTGAAATCTTAATTTGATATTTACAACATTGATCATAGAATTAAATAAAAAGATTATTAAAATATTTGAGTATATACATACACACACCATACCACCCAAAGAAATATAAGACGAGAGAGTTGAGGTGTTACGTCGAAAATTTCATTAATAAATAAAAAGTTACAAAGACCATCTCTCAACTATAGAGATGGTTGCTAACTTAAGTGTAGTTTAACAAGTGAAGACACCTAGGCCTTCAATTCAGATCTCCATCCCAACACGTTGTACTAAACAAAATAAAAAACTATAGAGATGGTTACAATCACATTCTTAGACTCTTAATTTTATCAATCACCCTCTTAATTAATGAAATTGTTAAAATGAAATCCTTAATATTGTAAAATGCACCAACCACCTTTTAACTATAAGTACTATTATAGTACAATTTCTGGTAAAATGCGAAAGAAAAGGTTGAATCATAGTTGAAATTTCAAATATTGAAGAACAGACGAGAGAGATACATTTCTAATAAAGGGTTTCTGACAATCTCCTAAAAAGAATAAAATTTATTACAACTGAAAAATGTATCCCTATGGAATCACAAACCACTGTCAAAATCATTCCTTGCACAAGAAAAAAAATAAGAAATAAAAAAGAAGCTGCACTATGAAGAATGCTATTATAGATCAAACTACGTATGAAATCAAGGTTGAGATACTGCTCAACTCATGGGGGACTCACCAATTTTACTCTTTAACATGGTCACCAGACGAAAGTAACTGCAGCCAACTTGAATCTTGAATTCATTATTTCGCTTTTAAACTATATGCAATCACACACCACTCGACGATGTTCGGTTTATCCTTTGTGCCCCTAACTTTGGAGCAGCTGGTTTGCTTCCTCTCCCCCTACCAGCTGATAATGGCTTGGCTCGAGTAGTCGGTGCAGGAGCAGCAATGGCAGCCCAAGGGTCATCATCATCAACGGTTACACTTGATTTTACATTTAATGGTTTTGAACCAGTTTTTGGAGCAGGGGCAGCTATGGAACCCCACAGATCGTCGTCCTCATCTTTGGGTGGCCTTGCTGTACTTCTTGTACCCAAACTTGTACCTGAAAGAACTGAAATGAGTCATTATAGGTCATTGACTAGGATCCAGAAAGCTAAATGAATCGACATTACTTGGAGGTTTTGTATGTGAAACGGGTTGAGAAACAGGACGCTTTTGAGCAGCCTGAATGTTTGCGAGAGCTGGAGATGGTTTTGGCTCCTCAATAGGTTCCAACTCATCCCACCCATCCTTCTCATTTTCATCATCATCATGAACTCCATTTTCAACTTCTCCCCAGCCATCAGTAGATGTCGGTGATTCAGTGGCATGTTGATCAGTTAAATCGAAACTCGAGCTCACCCGTACAGGTGCAGTAGTTGGAGCATTTGCAACTAGAAGCATCGTATAAATGATGAAGTAAATAGTCAAATGAAAACGTTAAACTTTGACATGGCAACATAAATTCTATTCTTTCTCCCTCAATCAAATACAAAGAAAATTACTTTCATACACAGCTTCAGCTATAACTCAGATTCAAAAAAGAATATATGCAGCAGGATACACCACCATGATGCCTAATTTAAGGGTGAGTGAAGGCAACCATTCTATATGACTTCAAAAATCAAAATATATTTGGAGGGGCTTAAAAACTATTTTGCTCCATATACTTTCAAAATGTATATTTTACAACTTTCAACTTTAATTCATTTTAGTCCCTTTTCAATATTCAAAACATCCGTTTTGATATTTGTGTTTTAAAAAAGTGACCATTTTGGTACCTGTTTGTAAAATTTTAATAGAAATTCTATACATAACGATACCTTTTAACACAAAGTTGTGATTATAGTTCAATAAATTTATTCAATGTAGTATCTTGTTGAAATTGTGATTGAACATATGAGATAAAAAAAAATGATGAGATTAAAACAGTCACTTTGTAAAAGTACAAGAAGCAAAACAGGTCCTTCAAAAATATAGAAACTAAAATGCACAAAAACTGAAGTGCAAGGACCAAAATACAAAAATGTTAAAAATACTGAGATCGAAATAGTAGTTAAACCTATATAATATATAATTATAAAAATGAGTTCACCATGAAAAGAAATTAGCATGGCAGTCATTTTAAAGACATCAAATGATATCAAAGAAAATTCTCAAAATATATAATGTACCTGAGATGGAATCAGAACTTGTGGCAGCTAAAGGTGCATGAGAGCTCACAGGAGCGGGAGAAGCATGTTCAGAAGCAGGAGAAGCATGTTCAGAAGCAGGAGAAGCATGTTCAGAAGGTCTTCCTTTTAGAGTTAAGGAGCTCATCGCCCATCTGCATACAAATATCTGAGATCAGGGCGGATAATAGATTTGTAGCGACAAATTCTGCATGGAGATGGTGCTTTTAACGGTTTATCTATGATCGATATATTGACATTGTTTATAGACAGAAAACCTAAGGCAAAAATGTTCTTTTATGTTGAACCAAATACTTATGTGACATTGAAAGAGGCAAATTTGGACAGGAATTCTAAAAATAACATAAAATAATCATATCAAAATGATTTGACCTTATGCTATACTCACCACATCCGAAATCTATAGAAAATTGATAGTTATCGTTATTTTTTGACGTAAACAGAACTTGAATCCAAAAATGAAGTTAGCGAGGAACCACAGGAAGTACTTTAAAATGACAATTCAAAATTCAGGTAAACTTTCTATGCTGATATTACAGTTGGCACAAAATCAGGCTCTCAGATTCAATCAACTCACCCAAGCAAGCTAGCATTTCCTGGTATAGACGGGATACTCAAACCTGCAGCACCAGCTGTATCTCCAGAAATTTCCTACAGTAAGCCATAAGATAAATGTCAACACAACACACATCCTAATTAGAGAGCCGACCAGCTTTTGATTAATATGGAGGAGTCCCATTTCTTTCTTTTCCAGAATTAGGCCACCTATGTGTCATTGTATTCTTCTTCAATAGAAAACATTTATTTTTGCATCTAATAACTGAGACAGCAAACGTACAGGAATTCATACATTGAAGATTAAACATTTTATTAACAACAAAATTTTATAATGAAAATAAATGTCAGTTATGGTCAATGATGAGAAAAAAATTATTGCTCATTTCCAAAGGGTGGATACAAGGTTAGTCTAATAGCAAGTATAAGGAAAAAACCAAAAATGAAGAGAAATAGCACAAAAGGAAATAATTATTAGGAGCTAATTATAAATATGAAGAAATGTAGTTGAACAATAAAATTTGACACCTCCTCCAGCTGGTAAAGGAACATTCTCCATTCCCAACTTGCTAACCAAATGCCCCATATTGTTGTTCAATCATTTCGTGAGGATATCTATTATTTTATTTTATTTTTTTTACATCCGTGTGTCCGGACCCACTTGCACGCACCTCGACTAATCACGGGTCAACTGGCTGACCCTACTACATTTAGTTGACTAGGTAACTCGTAGGATATTAAATCTTAGGTTGGTGGCCACCATGGTTTGAACCCATTCTCTCTAAGCCCTTTGCTATTTACATTGGCCCTTATTGACCACTAGGCCATCCCATGATGGTTATCTGCTATTTGATTATTAATTAGCACAAATGGAGTACATATGAGGTTGTTGTCAGACTTCTATTCTATCATGTTGAATTGGATGATGTAAAATACTAACGATAGACTTATTGCCACAACAAATTTCATAGTTCCTTTACGTGGAATCTTCCAATCTTCTAAAAGAATTTTTATCTAAAGTAATTCACAAATGCCCCTAAAGTTTGCTTCTTAACCCGATCTTGCAACTAAATTTTTCTTTTAATTATCCACGTAACAAAACTTTCACCCAAGAAAGTAAAATAGCCAAAAGTTGATTTTATATCATCTATCGATCTTACATAATCTACATCTATATAAACTTCTAGATTGAGTTTCATGCCTTTCTTAAACAACAATCCTCTCCCAATGGACTTCTTCAAATAATGAAGTATCTCATACACTACTTGAGGGTAAAAGTCCTTTGGGTTATGCATAAATTGGCTTGTCACTCCCATGGCATACGCAATATCTTGTCTTGTACGAGAGTGGTATATTAGAAGGTGACAGAAATCCATGGTAGTTTCTAGCCGGAGGTAGCCGATCGTTTCTACAAGGGTGCGTTCGGTCCAGGCCTGAACCCTGTGGACACTTGGAGAATTTAAAATGGGGGGGTTTGTCCTATGGTTAAAAGTGGGTTCTGCAAAAGGACTCTTATGGCAAGGATTTTCTCCAGAATTGTCATGCCCCTAGGCTGGGCTCTGGACAAATGGCGGAAGCAGTGTTGACAGGTAGGTCCCAGCTAAGTGGCCTAGCCACAGGACCTACGACTGAAAAGATGATAGAATGGATGGAAACAGGTCAAAAGGAAAGGAAAAGAAAAAGTGGGGGACTTAGGCCAAAAAAACGTCTCTTTCACAGAACAAGTTCGAGTCCTAACCATCCTTAAAAAAGGAAAGATCTGCTCCTCTAACCTCCTGTTTAATGAAACTCACGTGAATGGTAGACTAGATAAGGATGAGACCTCTGACACTTTCTAACTCTTCTCTTTCAAGGCCAGTCAGTTTCAATGAAGAAGAAATCCCCCTGCCCCATAGTTATCCTCGGACGGAAATGCCAGAAGGTTTTTTTTTTTTAATGTTTAAGATACGGGGCCAGTATGCCAACAATCCCTTCTTCTGCCCTTGACATAGTTGAATACAATGGTGCTGCAGCCCAACGGTGGGAGGAGGATGAAACAGAAGCTGTAGTGGAGGTTCCGGTCGAAAGGGGTAGAAGTTTTTACAAAGGAGGAGGTTTCAGAAGAAGACCTGGCCTTCCCTTTTACAAAGAACCTGTATAAGGGCTATTCCACCAAAAGGGAAAGACGGAAACAAAGCTACTGCCTCCAAAAGTAGATGTCAAAGAGAGACAAGGGATATTGAGTATTTTAATACCTCCTACTTTCATGGCTAATCCTTCTATTTGTGGTTCTAGTTTTCTTTGAACAAGATACGAACTTCTCATTGAAATAATGAAAAAAATATAATGTCCAAGAGATATAGCAGAAAGAAAGCAGCTAAAAAGATTCAAAAGATAACAACCAAAAGATATGCTAAAAATCAGAAGATAAAAGAACAAACAAACTGATGGACAAAAACCAAGCAACTTGACTAGGAGATGAGCCACAAGAGCTTAAACCAATCCCTTCAAACAGAAAAGAAGACTTCAAGAAAATATAAAGCTAGAGAGCTCCTTCGCAAATTCTGATAAGTTCCATATCAAGAGAGGACAAATTAATGGTTTTAGTATAATACCACAACGAGATTCTTCACATCTACCCACGCCAATAATCTCAGTTGCTCACAATTTGTACTCAAACATCAAATTCAACATAAAGACATGTAACAAAAGAACAAATTCGGCCTTTTTGGACAGTCCTTTTTAGAGTAGTAGCATCCTCACTACATTTCATTTCATGTCAACACATTGATAATAATCTCATTTTTGCCGCAAGTTTTAAAGAATTGTAGAATATTCTATCACTGTTTGACTGCCTTATTTTGCTCCCTAGATACGAGTCTTGATATCATATACTTGTTCACTTTTGAATAATTTTGCTTCATTGTTTTCCATATGTCCTTGGCAGTCTCAAGAACATACATGTATCACTAACAACCACATTCATCGAATTCTATAACTAATTCAACTAAGACATGATCATTGAGCCTTCTTCATCATACACATTAAACTTTTGGATCTCCCAATTTGGGTCCTATCCCAAGTATGTGATTCAACTTTCCTTTTTCCTTCAAGAATGTTCAAACAAGTTGAGACTATAAATAGGATGAATGTTCTAAAGATCCCCTGTGGAAGCTTTATTAGTTCCTTCAACAAGAACCTTTTTGGTAATTTTGGTGGGACTAAGCAGTAACTTAGAATGTAATACCCATGCACAAAAACGAAGTGTGAAATACCGAAGATGGGGTGAAAAGAAAAGTGACACGTAAATCAGACCAAGATCTCAACTAAACCAAACTAGACCAAGACTTGATCTGAACCAAACCAAACAATTACTTCTGAACTTGATTTACAGCTGAAAACCTAGGAGTCGATCATAGAAGACAAGAGAACCATTCGATCTAAGAAGACCCAAAGAGCTATTCAACATAGATGACATAGAGATGTGAATAGGAGTCGATCGAATAAAACTGTAGAAACCCATATAGAGGAATAGGAGTTGATTGTGAAAGAAACCCATAAAGCTGCACCATGACCAAGAATGAGGTAGAAGACCCAGACGAATAAAGCTATAGAAGACTTCAATGGCAGCGAAGAACTTGAACACGAAAAGAAACCCACATACTCGAAATAGGACTTTGAATAAGATTGAAGTAGGAAAGTTCAATTGGCGATGAAGGCCAATTCAAAAAATAGGGTTAATTGAGCAAGAAATTGATCTGTAATGAAGGACAATCAAAATAAAGCCTCAAGGTTTTGGTATCGTGTCAATGAGAAGAAAAGAATTCTGGCTTACTTGCAAATGATGGATACAAGGCTAGTCTAAATAGTATTAAATAGTAATTAATGGGAAAAAACAAAAAAAAAAAAAGGGAAGGAAAATAGCGCACAAAGAAATAATTACCAATTAGGAGCTAATTACAAAGAAAGAGATACAAAGAAATAATTGTACAATATAATTTGACAAAGGATATGGCATGCACAATATGTGAATCTACAAAATACTATGCCAACTAAAATATAACGAAGAACCACTAGTTAATATATTATTTCAAACTATCAGCCTAAAAGAAGCCAAATCTTCACTTTATCCCTCAAAACTGAAACTCAATATACTTATCCTCCAAAATTTACCAAATGCCTGATGTAGCCCGAAGGCTGAATAAAATTTCACATTGCAAGAGCAACTATCATGGACTCATCTTTAAATTTAAATTTAACAGACCAACATCAAATTTCAACAGAAAAAACATTCAGTGAGAGAGATAAGAGATTAAAATGAAAAAATATATATATTACGGGTCAACAAAATGAAAAACACCAGCTGTCCCTCACTAGCAGCAGCTCAACTGGTTCTCCAAGCATGATTGAGAAAATATATGGAAGCCATTGGTATCAAACTATCAATTATCGGGCATTTAAAAGCTTAAGTAATGAGAAACTGTATTTAACACACCTTCTCATAGTTTTGCTTTAATATCTGTAAGAACTGATCAACTGCTTGAAAGGACTTTGACCGAACGTCACTACAGACAAGACAAATAACAAAATGATAAATATTAAAGAATATTACGGATAAATGAAGTAGAATGGATAATATTTTAGGCAAAGCTTCTCAAGAAACAGACGGATGGCAACATTTAATGTCTTTACTGGCTTAATCAACAATAATACTGAAAGCAATTCAATTCCATAAAATAAATAAATAAAAACAAAAGTTCAATGCTGCTTTCAATTTCTTGCTTAAGACCACTTTGGGACACAAGAATTTTCAAAAAGAAAAAGTAAAACAACATAAAACTCTTTTTAAAGTGATAGAAAATGATATTTAATTAATGGGATGAAATATACAAGAAGAAAGATTGAGCAATGTTAAAATTTTAACAATTGGACAATAAATATTAAAAATTACTCAACGTCATAATAAACCTGTCAGGATCTATGGTAAGCACAACAACATTAGGAAGAATCCTAGTCGCAATTTCTGTACTGTCATAGTATCCGCTTGTAGCACATAATGCCATGACACCTGCATGATAACGTTTTTAGTTAAGATAAACAGAAATATAGCATCTTTTATTCGGTTGTTATAAAATAATCTATGGGAAATCAAAGTAAATAGGTAATTGCACAAAACCTTCGACTGAGACACTTGGATGGACCATAAATAGAAAATACAAATGATCCAAAAAAAAGGTTATAGCTCTTGTACCTGCACCACGGGCTGGAGAAAATGTATCACGCAGTGCACGGACGGTGAAAGCATTAATTAAAACTCTCTTCCTCGTCTGCATTTAGATTTGAACTCAATCAGATTTTATTTCATGCAAAATAAAGCAATTTCATCCCCCACTTGATGACACCTCCATTTCTAAAATGACGGTAGAAGTATGAAGAGTCCGATCAACATTGATAGAACAACTGACACTTTATTTTACAACAAAACATAAATTTTTTTCATCGATAAAAATGAAAAATTACAAAATCCAGAACTTTATGAACATACTTTCAAAAAAAGTTCAAACCAAAATAAAAAATAAAAGAAAAGTAAAAAACAACTAAAACTATTAAAAAAGGTTCAAACTAGAATACCAAGAACTTTATTAACATAAAACCCAATTTCTAATAATTAAAAAAAAAACAAAAGAAAATGAATGAATCTTTTTTAAGCTAGGGGACACCTACGTCTTTTGATCTTTAATTAATATTTAAATAAAAAATTATATATATAATTTTATTTAAATATTAATTAAAAATCACACACAAACATATATATAAAACTTTTTAGTTTTTATCCTTCCCAATGTGCCTCCTCCCCATTAAAAAAATTCAGTCAGTAATCCATTTCCCAAAAAAAAAAAAAGGAAAAAGAAAATTTACCCTCCCAATGTGCCCCCTCCACTTCCTACCTGTAGCCCTAATTTTTTTTGTCTCATATTAAAGAAAACCTAATTTTCATCTCCCAATGTTGCCCTCTCTTCTTCCCACTTAATAATCCCAACCCTAGTTTTTATCCATTCCTTACAACCCGATGCCTCCTTTTGCGCTCACCTCCGCCGTTCTTCTCTTCTTCTTTTGAACTGTGTTCTTATTCATCTCTTCTTTTGCATTTCTTCCTAGCTTTCTGTATTATTCTTCGTCAACTCTCAAAATGTGAGGTTGTGCCCTAATTTATGAGTAGAAGCCTTGCTTTCTCTTTGTTCTTGAATCAGATGATCTGATTCATAATGTTCTATATATTATGATTCAACAGATCGTGTATCCCTGTTGGATCTCCGTCGTGTCACCCGCATGTCCGAAAAATTTAAAACACATTTGGACACTCTAATTAGCGTGTCGTCGGATGTGTGTCCGAGCGTGTTGGACACCAACACTGGCCCCTTTTTAGCATGTCGGTGCTTCCTAATTCTTAAGTCTTCCATAACATAAACCCAAAGCAAAGATTTCATTCCAATGAAAGTAATACATATCAAATGAAAATTAAGGGGAAAAAAAAGAGCAAGTGTTAAAGTATGAAAAAAAATTCATGATAACCTATCAGTTTAAGCTTTTGGGTTCATCAGTTTCCTCCCCAACTAATATTGATAATCACTTCTTGTTATTGTATGTTGTTTGTGATTTCCAAGCCCATAAGCTTGAGGTATGAATAAAACATTAAATTTATTGTAAACTCATCAACTTAAATTTTTTAGTTTTTGAGTTCAGTATGACTTAACAAAGAGATTTGTTGAGATGACAAAAAATCAAATAAAGATGACTAAGAACAAGAGAATAAGTGACCCTAAATCAGCTTTCTTAGCCATCACTTCCCCCTCCACTAAGCTGAATACTGCCACTACTGCCTCTTTTATTTGGAACTTCAAGGTTCCTAAGAAGGTAAAAGTTTTCCTTTGGACTCTTTTCTACAGGGAAACTAATACTGCCGATAAAATCCAAAGGAAGCTTCCTCACTGGACTCTTTCCCCTTCAGTTTGTACCATGTGCATTAATGGTGGATCACCTCTTCCTTCATTGTGCGTTTGCTACTAGGGCTTGGAACTACGTGGCTTCTCACTTTGTTCCTGCAGTCTATGTTCCTAAGAGAATAGATGATTTTGTAGCAGAAGGTTTTGGTGGTTCTAGGCTCAAAGGAAAAGCATATGTTCTGTGGAATTGTGCAGCTAGAGCTCTTCTATGGTTGCTTTGGAAGGAACGAAACCATAGACTTTTTGAAGAGAAAGAGGCTTCTTTGACTCTTTTAGTGTGAATATTAAGCATACAGCTTCTTGATGGGCTTCGATCCATAAGAAGGTTTTTCGTAACTATGGGTTCTTTTTGATTTTTCAAAGTTGGAATTCCTTGATTGTATAGTTTCCTCGGGGAGGGTCCCCTCAACCCTCTGCCTCTAGGATGTTCTGTTGCCTTCGGGCTTATTTTGATTTTGAATATAATCTCTTTGTTTCTTATCAAAAAAAAATAATAATAAATGAACTGCAAGGAGAACGTGCATTTTAAATCCCAAGAGACAATAGTACTATTACCAAACGACATTGTCAGAAAGAAAAATACAACAAAAAATTGAGCTCTTCAACAAGATTGTTGACTGATGGTTGCCTGTGAATCAGTGGGCAAATATATAGAGATACTTACCCCTTCATTCAAGTAACTTGCAATATTCCCAAGTAATATGGTAGTATTTGTTCGGATCGCTGGTTCTTCATCAACCTGCAGAACTCTCAGAAATGTTATCAATAAATAATTAAACACAAACAAATGAATAATAATACTTGAGTGATTCATTATGCATGCTAAAAGGAAGGAAGCTAAGCCTACTTAATAGAGTTGGTTGGCATTCAAGCGTGAATAGTTAGTACCGATTTTGTAAATAACAAACAAAATAGTCATTTGTTACGAGGAAGGCTGGGAATATTTAGTATGGTAGGGAAGCCTTCTACTAGAATACTCGGTTAGTTAATAGTGTTTTCAGACAATACTCTATATATTCCATTTTAATGTAAAAGGATTTTTTGCGACCTATCATCGAGCAAAATAGATGCATGCACATAAGCCCCATCCCCCCTCCCCCCAACAAAAAAGGAAAACAATTAGAATGGTACCAACAAATGGCTAAAGCAGTACCTGTAACTTTGAAAGATGCTTCAATAATGACCCGGAAATAGTGCGGTGAGAAAGCTGCAATATCGATTCAGATCATCTCACAACTCCAATGTGAATAACGTGCAATAAGACAATACTTGAATGAAACCATAATAAACAGCAAAGCAATAAGTTTTCACATTTAAGTATTCAACTCAAGAAACGTTGGAAAAAGGAAAAAAAGAAATTATGCAAATTCAAAATTAAAATTAAAAAAAAACTGAAAATAAATCTTAAATTTAAAATAAATCCCAAATCAAAACCTAAGATTAAAAAATAAACAAAACGAATGCAAAAATACAGGAATGCAAAATTTTTTTTAAAATGTAAATCAAATGTAAGCAACATCCGTTAACTGAAACAATCATATAAGCAAACCTAACACCTCGTTGGCATTCCTATTGCATGCCATGGTCAGTCACCCAATCTGCTTTCCATAGTGTAATTTCTTTTTATTTGGATGAAATGAGATCAATTATGAATTTTTATTACTAGATTTTTGGATTGTGAATAATCAGTTAGTGGCAACTTTGCGCTTATTTTAGGTGTCCGATTCTGTATCCCTTGAATGTCAAAACATTTGACCTATGATCTTCAATACTTTAGCCTTATTATAATGTATTATCATAAAAGGAGGTATTATTAAATTTATATATCATGTGCTTTACATCACTCAAACTCTGTGCTTCTTCTTGAACCTTGTGCCTGGGCTCCAAATAGCTATGCCCTAGTGTAACTAAAAAACAGTATATTTTAATGGAGGTGAAATAACCAGCAGAAAGCTACAAAGAGGAACAATTAATTTGACAAACATTCCGTGGCCCTGTAGTATAGAAAATTGAATTATAGAATTTGACAAAAGAGCTCTATAAGTGCTCTACAACACTTTGGCAAAAGTACGGGCAATGAAAATTATAATTCTCCGTGGGAAGCCTTGTCCCTGTGGCCATTAGGTTGTTTCTTTTGTTTTGTTCTTTATAAAGCCTCTCGTCTCTCACCAAGAGACAAAAATTATAAAACATAAAAAATAAAAAGAGTAATGTCTTGCAATAATCTCATTGCATAAGATTAAGAATAGTAATAAGGGATATATACATACCTTGGGAGCCAGAACAAGCATGGATTTAAGGGTTAATTCACGAAGAAAAGCGGACGTATCAGAGAACCCAGTGGCAATATGAGGATAGACCTAGTTAAAATAAGGTGGATTATCAAATTTGCAGATGAAAGCTACCACGACAATTTTTTTTTACAGTTTTTACAACTGATCAAACTCAGAAACTACAAGCTACAGTATTTAATCCCACCCAGTATCACATAAGCATCCAATCAAATCCCAATTGAAGCATTCATTTTGTGACAGCAGGTATACATAACCTAGCATTAAAATTAGGTGATCATAAATTGACGATATCTTAATCTATAGTAAAACAATTTATGATCACCTACATCACTTCTGAACATTGTTTGAAACCTTAAACAAGCACCAAATTTTAATAAATATCAAAAAAAGGTTCCTTCATGACATTGGACCATTTTCTGGGGTTTATTATTAAGTATGAATGGAATTTCAGTAGACCTCTAAAAAATTACAGCAATTGGTGAGTGGCCAAAACCTAGACATGAAAAGGATATACAATGTTTCCTAGGATTGACCTTGTCCTATAGGAAGTTTTCAGCACCTGTTGCTGCCTAACGGAATGCCTACAAATGGAAAGTTTGGTTGGGGAGATGACCAAGAAGAGAGTTTTTCCACCCTTTAAAAGCCAAACTATGCTCCACCCCTGTTTTAGCTTTACCAAACTTTGACAAATCTTTTGAGGTCGCGGTAGATGCTCCAGGAGTGGAAATTGGAGCTCGGGAAAATTATCTTATTGAATACTATATTGAAAAGCTAAATACACCTGGACAAACGTAAAACACATATGAACTTTACTCCCTAATTAGAGCCTCAATAGGGGTATTGTTTGGAAAGAATTTATCTTATTCACTAATCACTATTCCCTAAAATTCTTGCCTACACAAAAGTATATCAGCCGCATGAATGCTAGGTGGACAACCTTTATCCAACAATTAGATTTCATAATGTGTCAAACATTCAAGGGGCCTAGCCAAAACACAAGACTCTACACACCACTACTCGTCCCCCAATACATTTGGGAAGACCTTTCTATGGAATTTATCCTTGGCCTCCCCAAGACTTCTTGGGGGTATGACTCAGTTTTCGTTGTTGTGGACAGATTTAGCAAAGATATCCCATTTTCTAGCTTGTAAAAAGAACATCGGATGATGTTTATGTAGCTAACTTATTTTTTAAAGAAATAGTCCACCTTAATGGAATTCCTAAAACTATTGTCTCTAACCGTGATGTTTTCCCGATGGTTACACTACAGAATTTCTTATTCCTTTTTGGCAGCAACTGAAGGTTGATTTTCTACATTTCTTTGACGAGTTTTATCGTAACCGTGATGTTAAATTCTTGAGTTATTTTTGAAAAACTTTGTGGAAGAAATTTGATAAAGGTTTGAAGTTTTGCACCACAAACCCACAAATGGATGGTCAAACAAAACTCTTGGCAACCTTATTGGATGTTTTAGCAGGCGTAAGCGAGAACGATGGGACTTATCCTTGGCCCAAGAAAATTTGCCAATAATCATATGAGAAATCATTTGACAAGGAGGTCCCCATTCGAGATTGTTTACACCAAACTTGCTCGATTAACTATGGATATAACTAATTTGCCTTCCACTGTTGATTTTAATCAAGAAGCCGAGGAAATGGCTGAACCAATTGTTGAATTACATAAGGAAGTCCAAGAACATCTCAAAAAATATAACACCAAGCACAAAGCTACAGCAGATAAACATCGGTAGCCTAAGTCTTTTCAAATAGGGGATCTCGTCATGGTACACCTAAGAAAATATAGACTACATACAAACGCATAAATAAGCTTCATCCAAAGGAACATATATACATAGGATGATTCTCTGTCTTTTTATTTTTACTATTCTGGATTGTATCTTTTTATTTTAATGGTACAGATCTTTTTTAATACCATGAGTAGAATACAATACATCAAAACTTATCTCTAATTAATTGAAATAAAAAATTAGAATTCTTACAAAATTCTTAAGTACCAGCTTATAGGCCTAACAAGAGAATCTTTTTTTCCCTTCTTTTTATGAAAAGTCAAGTGATATGAATAATGAACGCATCCCGAATGTCTTGGAAAACTATTAATCTATCTTCAAAAAGTCTTCTTTTCATTCTTTACAAATTTCCAGTAAGAGAGGGAAAGAGTGGGAATTGCTTCTTAAAATCCTGCTCAGGTGTAAGTTAATATATTTTCAATTGGCAGTGGAGAAGTTATCTAATACTCACCTGACATCATATTCTCCTCACCAACTTAAACTAGTTTCATTTATTTATAGATGTGATAGTTATTATTGACTTCATACCTGCTCATCGACCATTTGGGATGACAATGATTCGCCAAATTGATCAATATGCTGCAGGAGTCCAATTCTAATAGCTCGATCATTGGAGGCAAACAGTTTCACAATCGTAGGTAGAACCTAAACACCAGATGGACCACACCAAGTCAACAAAAAGTAAAAGACCAGACCAGATCCATGTCAGATAAAAGTAAAAAAATCAAACAAAAGCTTTTTTAAATAACAAGTTAAGAGCGCTTGAATGGGACAATATCAGCTATAATATCAAGATAAAGACATAACCTTTGCATTGAATTCTTCAGTTGAAAGCCAAGAACCCATTTTTAACAATGCGGTCAAGGCAGGGGCAACAGCTGAACCAAATTCAAGGGCAGAAGCTAATAAAGGAAGCAACTGTATAATAACAAAAGAATGAGATACTTATGAAGCACATCAAGAAAATAAATATTGTAATTTGGAAGTCACCTTTCTCAGTACTATTTGACGAGGAAGTTGTTCAGCTAGATTTGGGAGTTTGCGGAAGAAGGTATCCTTCTCAACACTATCCTTCAGACTCAGAATTTCCATGAAGTGTATGGTGTCGACCAACTTATTTTGAAAATATTCTATCACCCATAAGTACAAAAATTAATCAACAAACCCAAGAGCAGAAAATTGGACAAATATATTTACATAATACACACACACACGCATATATATATAAATCACGAGTCCCGAGTGCAACAGAACATGCACAGTAAGAAAATATGATGGAGAGTGTGGGAGGTGCATGCATACTGAGACTACAATCAGAAAAAGCTTTCTTTCATTTACACCAAAAGGGGATAAAGATGACTGTATATGTTGATGATATTATCCTCATAGACAATGATGAAGATGGATTTACTTCACTTGCTAATGAATTTCAGATTAAAGATTTGGGAACTTTGAAATATTTCCTAGGAATGGAATTTACTATATCAAAAAAGGAGATCTTTATTAATCAAAAGAAATACACAATTGACTTATTTTAATAGACAGATTGACTTGGTCCCAGGATAGCTGAAACCCCTATTGGACCAAATTTGAAGTTGCAAGCTGTGAAGAAGTTAAAAGATAAAGGAGAAATATCAAAAACTTGTGGGTAGACTCATTTATTTGTCTCACACACGTCCCATTGCCTTTGTTCTAAGCATGGTAAGCCCAGTCGTGCATTATCCTAGTTCAACTCACTTTGAAGCTGTTCACAGGATTTTGAGACATCTTAAAGGAAATCCAGGCAAAAGTATACTGTCTAAAAAGTATGGTCATTTGTAGGTTGAAGTCTATATTGATGCCAATTAGGTTGGCAGTACTATAAATAGACGATCTATATCCGGTTATTGTTCCTTTGTTGGAGGTAACTTAGTTACCTTGCAAAGCAAAAATAAAATGTAGTGGCAAGAAGTAGTGATGGAGCAGAGTTTAGGGATTTAGTTCATGATATTTGTGAGGGTATTTGGATCAAAAGGCTAGTAGAAGAATTGAAGTTTGCCCAGGAGGCACCTATTTGTATTTATTGTAACAACAAGGCTAACAAGGGTCACAAAGGGAAGATCAATGCAGGAGATATGTACTCCCTACCTGCAAACAAAGTAAATCGCTATATGGTGGCCAAAGGTCTTCCAAAAATGCAATTTGACAAATTGATTGACAAGCTGGGAATGAAAGACATCTTAAAACCAGCTTGAGAGGAATGTTGGTTTTATGTATTTTTAGTAAATAATTAGTGTAAACATTTATTTATTGCTTTTTCTTTTGTATTATTTGTAATTACAAGATTATTGACCTGGTTTCCTTATTTAGCAATGTGTATCACCTTTACTTAAGGTAACCCAGAATTTTACCTCTGAATAAGAGAAATAATTTTATTTGCTCTCAAAATTGGACTTAATTATATTTTTCTAGAAATTAATTCACGGTATAAAGCTTTTTGTGTAGGAATAATGGAGAAGACGCTGCTCATCTTTTAGTTTTCTGCCTTTTTGTAGCAGCCTGTTGGTGGGATTTGTTCAACACCTTCAATCTTAGCTGGGTGTTTCCTAACAAGGCTTCAGCTTTTTTTGTTCAACTTATCTTGGGAATTTATTTCAAGGGTTCCAATGTTGATTTTTGAAACTCATTACCCTTTTCATTGATGCAAACCAAAGCTCCCCAAAAACAGTTATTGAATGAGTTTCCTAAATTAAAAGCATTTTCCAACAGAAAATGGTATTTCTAACCTTTCCTCAACTCAATTTCACGTAGGCCTTTAATATCTCTAAGTAGTTATTTCAAAGGGGTTTCAATTAGACCAAAAAAATGCATCGTGCATTCTTGTCATCCAAAATATATAATTTCATATTAATAAGAAAGCTCACCACTATTTTCTATAAGCTTGGATGTATTCAACCTACGAGAAGGCATAGAACTCAATAGCCGCTGATAATCTGGAAGTAAAGACTGTGACAGAAAACACATCCACGAATGAAACAAATCACACAAGAACCAAAAGCAATTAAATGAGATATAAGTTAAAAATTAACACAATTTTTCATACCAAATAGTGCAGAAAAAACGTAAGAAGCATGCAAGTAAAAACTTATACGCTTAAGAACCCAAACAATGTTCCTGAGTAATGTAAACACTCTAGAATGGTAGGTGGGAAACTCACTCATCAAATAGGATTGTGATACCTAAAAGAAACAGATTTCAATTAAAGTTTGCAATCATTTCAATGGTTGGGATCGTTAGTCCATCAATGTAGTTTTCAACTCTACACTATAGTTTTGACCTGTGTCTCGCTGCTTTCCCCTTTGATAAATAAAGTCACACATTATTACCATAAGATTGAGAAAACTCATTTGCTAGCACCACAAAATACAGTAGAGAAGTTTTTGACTTATCAACAAAATTCAGGCTAGGATTTAGAAAGAACACCAACTGCCCCCAAGGGTGGCCTACTTTCTTGGGGTCTTTTTTTTTTTTGAAAAGAAACTGCACTTTCATCGAGAGAAATGAAAAATAGATACAAAAACAAGGAGGGTATGCCCTGCAAAAGGGAACCCCTAAAGAAACGGGCTCCAATCCAAAAGAATGAGACCTTAATAATAATTACAAAACGCCTTAGTGACCAAAAGACCTCATACTGGTTTAAAGGTCTCAAGTTCGAACTTTCACGTGAGTTTAATACAAAGGTTTGGTCCGGGTCTGAGGGTAGGCACGAGTACCCGCAGATATAGGGGGACAAAGGTCCGACTCCCAGTTATCAAAAGAGTACCAACTTCCTCGCCACCATATGAAATTCATAAATGTTTTCCTATCACTATGAATAATTGGGGCATCATAATTTCATGGTCTATCCAATAACATGTGGCAAGTATCCATAACAATAACATTGCATACCGCTTGACCTTTGTAAAATTAATTAAGACATGTCCTGTGCACACTTTCGTACATAGCAGTCTTACTTCCTTCCCTCCTACTGTTCTATGAGGACTAGACTATGGATCAGAGCCTTGGCCTAGCAGCATTAGGGCATGTGAAACGAAAATGTAAAGGAAATTTGGAGAATTGGTTCAAACTCTATGGTGGCTTTCTACCTAGGATATTAAAATTTTGTGCTTTTTTACAACCAAACTAAAATCTTAGGTGCTTCTTGACAACCAAATAGGGCCACATGACTATCTTAAGTATGTGAGATTCAGTCTTAGGTGTTAGAAGGAACCTTGAATTACACACATCATTCCATCACCTTTATACTTGTAAAGATAAGAGACGAGTGTTTCCTTTATTACAAAAAAATAAAGGGTAAGAGGAGGGAAGATGTTTAAAACCCAAAGAGTGCAAAGACAGACACAACAATTACATACAGTTGATGTGAGAGAGGAGATAAAAAAATCATAAAGAAAAAGAAAGAGAGAAAAGCTATCAACCCATGAGCATCTTTGCAATAAGAACAAAAACCTTGGGAATGGAAGCAGTATTTCGCAGCTCCTCTGTTTTGCTCAACTTCAAACCAGAAAATAGTTCATAGATAAGACAACCTATCAACCAAAATAAATAAATAAATAATACTGCAAGTGAGAATGTACAAATGACAATAATGTTAAAAATTAAAATATCTACTATATTTATCACAACTAAATTTGTAGAATAGATACCACTATACTAGCCATATATTTCCTGTTGGAACATGTTCATATAAATTTTTTATGATTCCAACTGATTGAAATTTAAAGTTAAAGCTGATATTTGTAATACAAAGAATATGCCAATGAATGAAGACGCGTGTCATGTATAATATGTTTAACAATTTAGCAAAATCAAGTACTTCGTGGCACAACTGTTAATAGGATGCGATGGGCATCCTTGGAAATCCTCAGATTTCAAAATTTGAAACAAGAACATGATTGGCATAGCAACTGGTATTCTAGGTAGAATTCCACGAAAAGAATTTTTTTTTTTTTTTTTTGATAAGAAACAAAGATGTATATTACCAAAGAAATAGCCCAAAAAAAAGGGGGAGACAACCTAAAGGCAGAAGGTAGAGAGAACCCTCCCCTCAAGGCTATCTAATTCCAGCTTTCCAATATTGCATAATCAAAAACAAACTGTAATTACAAAAAACCTTCTTGTGTATTGAAGTCCACCAAGAAGCCATAAGTTTGATATTCACAAAGAAAGAATCTCTCAACACTACTTTGTCTTCATATTGTTTGACGACATTATATTCTCAAAAAAACAGAAATTCAATATTCTCAAAAAATACCCATCCAAAAATATATATTGTTTGACGACATTATATGACGAGTATTAAGGATTTTGTTCAGACTCCTAATTGAGGGTTGTTAATTTGTTTTACTATTGTAATTTTTAAATATATGTTCATAACTTAAGCAAAAGACGATACCTAACAGTGTAAGTAATTTGGAATTCCTACAAGGTTACATACTAAAGCAACAGGATAATATAATTCTTTCAATAAATAAAACCAATAAACGTAAGCAACCTAACCAATAGGAACAGTTCAGACTTACCCAAGCCCCAAGAATCAATGGCCCATGCAGGAGACTTTCTAACAGCAGCCCAGTCAGATTTTACCAATTCCATCGGCTTATATTGTGATCCAATGAGCCAGGCATATTGCTGAAGAAAATACTGAAATTACCAACAAATAAAAACCAAAATTGCAATGCAAAAAGTGAACCCAAAGAAAGCAAGAGATGACCATAATTATCTGCTGCAAGTACCATAATGAAGGATTTTCTAGGACTAAGTTAGGTCTGCCAGCCCTAAAGCTAAATTCCTAACTCTTGTTGGTCTAGAAACAGAGCCATTATATATATATTTGGTCTAGAAAGAAAGCCTTTTGATATAAGAATTTCTTTTGCTTGCAAGTGTTCAAGGTAGAACTTTTTTCTGCAATCTGTTTCTTTGTCACCAGTTCAGCGAACATCATTGTAATTGTTGTACCCTTGGTTAACCAATAATAGTTTTTCGTTACCAATTAAAAAATCTAAAAAAAGCCACTCATACAACCCCTAAGTAACTCAAAGCCGAAAGCAGAACAAAGCTTACAATCAGAGATTGATAGTGCAATGTATAACACATGGCTTGAAATATTTATATTACATCTACTTCAATGAGGAAAGCATCCAATCATAGGGTAAAGTGTCGTCAAAACAAACTTTATTTCTTTGAGGATCAGACCTTTTCAGTAGCTTCCAATTTTCAATTTGACTCTCCATCCTTCAAAATATAAAATATCATCTACGATAAATTATAGTTGATGTTTGGTCCTCCAAAACATCCCACAATTAAGAAGGCTCCCAGTATTAATGTTTTACTGTTGCTTCTTAATTACAGCTCATAAACACAACATCGGGAACACAATAGAAAAGATAAGGAAACGTCCACGCAAAAAACTCAAGACATCAAGAGATATATATTAATTACCAGCATTTGCCCACTGGAAGCTTCACTATTCCCATCAAACTCAGATAGCACGTCAAAAGCATGGAGCTTCCAGTCCAAGGTTGGAGTCACAACAACACTGGCCAGGCAAACATTACCATGAACCTGTTGGAGATATAGCTAGTTAAACAGTTGAAGGGAGCTAGGGAGTCAGAGGCAGTGCAGATCTGAAGGTGGGGAGAAGGAGATGGTGTGACCACTTAATTAGAATATTTACATAATTTAGATCCGATGCAAAATTTCAAAATACTTACAAGTTTACAGTCATTGTTTAAGAAGCTCACAGCTTTAGCTATCTGGTTCAGACCCCAAGCATAATACTCATCCCTGCCAGTAATAGAAGTGTTCCACATTGAGAATGAATCCACCATCATACATGTTTCTAAACTATTTCACATAAACTATCATACACAGATACCAAAAAAATGGCTGATCTCATAAGAAGTATGGACACGAACACAGAAACAGACATGATAACATGTCTTTTCTAAAAGTATTTAAACACTGGATTAGAGCAAGACATTTATTAAAAAATTAAATTTTAAAATAAATTGCTTAATACATTGAATAATTTATGATGTTTCAATGATTCACAGTAAACAAGTTCACATTTTTAATACAAAACAATATAAAGGAATCAAATATACTACATTACACACAAGAAGTGAATGATGCAATGTTGTCAAATAGGAGCTTTGAATCTAGATAGCAACAGTATCAGAATCAAGACTTTATCTTGTCAAAATAGTAGGAAGGTTCCCTTAAAGGAAGTCGGTTTGTGGCATAAAGTGAATTCCAAGTGAATATGATATGGAAGACTTTCAATCCTTCAGTACAAATTCTGAGAGGACACCTTGAGCAAGAGTTAGGCAACCTTCATTAACGAGCATTCTTTAATTTTCCCAGTTTGCCTTGAATCTATGCAATTACAAGGCTTCTAAAATCTACCTTCATTATTGGACTACCTCCTAAAGGCATGCCAAATTAAGGTCAAACACTCACAAATACGGCTGAATACATGGCAGCCTCCACATACGACGTTTAAACCTGCCAACCTTTTTTGTTTAGTTAGTCTTCAACCCAAAAGCCCCCTCAACACAGTTTTTTATTTTTTAACATTCTCCAGCTCTTKGCTACTATCGAATAAATATAATGTTGCACATTGGAGGTGACGTCTTTTAATTTTCCCACATCTAGCTCTCAAAGCATGCCATTTTTTATTTTTTGGGGAACAAGAAATACGAAGCATGCCATTCAACAATCATTTATCCAAAATTATACTAAGCACATCACCACCAATACACAAAGAAAGTGAAAGATCACCCGCTAGAAGCATGAACTCTACCCGCTGGGTCTACCACTGATGAAAATAGAGAAATAGGTATTAAACATGCAATTTTTCAACCATTTTGTCCACTCTCACCAAAGTCATTCCCCCTATGGATTGTAGGCAAAAACTCCTAATCAACCTATTTGATTTACAAATTTAAGGAGCCTAGATTGTGTGGAGTCATCTTGAGGGCTTTTGCTTAAAAAGGTTAAATTACAAATTTAGCGCCTCAATCGCCCCCATTAACTCTAACATTATTCCACAAGCCTCATGAGCTTTCATAAAAGAAGAATTTCACAACCAAACATTTTCTAAAGTCAAAAGGAACGGGTCCTAATGACGAAAACCTTGTCTCCAATGTATTGGAAAAGGCCAAAAACGGCTCTTTGTTTTTTGGACACTGGGCTGCTGAAATTCATCAAGCCACTCCTTACAAAAACTTACTTATTCTCCAAAAAAAGTTGCAACTCTATCGAGCAACATTAACATTTCTTAGGAAGGAAGCTACATTTGTAGTTAAGACACCATGAAATAAGACTGCTTTTTATTTTCAACTTTTAGTTTTCCTGGTTCCAGGAAAAGCTACAACTCTTCAGTTCAACATGGCGAAGGCCATTTTTAATGGGGCAGCAGCCGGTACATAATTAATAATTTACAGAATTGGCAAAAAATTAAAAGACAAAAAGCAACATATAAACATGGAAATAAATATAAAGGGAATAAGTGGAAATGCTACTATATGATAGGAAAATAGCAGCATCGCACTTCTACTCGGGAATACAAGTGAAGCTTTCCTATTAAAGTATGAGTAAAGTTGAAAAGATTCTAGACTTCAGGTTTCATTATCACTGAATAAAAATATATTCATGATTTGGACGACAAATAGACGAAAATGCTCCACAAATGATCCATCTTGTGGTATGAGAAATACCTTATCCTTTTCACATTTTGAACTTCTTGTAGGTCTTTAACTGTAATACAAACATTACCAGGGTACAGAAAAATTACTCAATGACTTTCCCTGCATAATATAGTTATCGCCCTTTTCTACAAAATAAAGATTTTTTTTTATTTCAGAAGCTCGAAACAAAATTCTTTGCCTCTTACATTACATGAGAAGCATCGTGTCCCATTTAACAATATACTTCAGGTGAATGAGAAAAAAGTACAAAAAAACATGATAATAGCAACAAAAAGAACAATTCAAAAGCCAAAATTGGATTAAAGCTGCTGGCTGGATTGCTTTACCTTTGGGTACCTTCTAGACCCAATTCCTTTATCTTTTCAGACAATGGCATAACAGGCTCTGTAACAATATAAATTGTAACCTTGGAAGTAGAACCATCAATAGTTTCAGTCTCAGTGCTATGAAGAAAGGATAAAATATTTGGATGCCTGACCTGAATAAAAACACAGATATAGATTATTGATGTCAATGAAATATATATTTTATGGATGAATCATGAGAAATTATGTGTCACTAGTATTGATGAAGAGGAAAATGAGGTAAAATTAGGAGGTTAACGAGGTAAAATGAGGCAGATACAGAAGAGCGGAATACCTTGTGTTGTCCAAAAAAATTACTTTTGGCCCATAAAACTAAGACACATCCACCAATAACACGAAATCTTTCTTATACAATGCATTGTTAATGAGCAAGCTTTTGTAACAACATCATCAACAACCATTTAAGAAAATCAACAAAATCAATGTTTCTTACCAAAGAAAAAAAACAACCGTTGAAGAAAATGCATCAGATTTCCAGAAAAGTAAAGTTGAAACGACATGATAACAATCAAAATTATGAGTATGTACAGAATGATCTCATTTGTATGATTTATATCCATAATAGTGGGCATTGGCAGCTTACAGTTCGCAGCCGTTTCACACCATTGCGACCTGCAGCCAAATGTCCATCCTGTGCATTACTTCCTGAAAGAGAGAAAATAGATACTGGAGACCCATCATCCTGAAAATGAAACCAATCTTACATCAACTTCACTTAAAATAAAAGTTACAGAAGATTATAAAAATGAGATAAAACAAACATCAAAAAAGAATTTAAAAACCAAAATTTTTTTGAAATCTGGTTGGTGACAAAAATCCTCTATGCAAGAAGCATATGAGCTGCRAACTGCTTGACAAGGAAAAATTCCAAAATACCCCAAATCTAAGAAACGGGAGTTTTCAACTGAACAAAAGAGACAAGTAGCTTGGACTAAAAAAGGGAAGTAAAAAATAGATCCAAATATCATATCTACAGATTTCATAAGAACCAGCTAGCAAACTATCTCCAATATATATATAGACTGAATGCCCACTAGATAGGGAATATAGAAAGTCCTTTTTTCGACAAAAAAAAAATCATATAAAAGTAATAATTGCAAGAAAAAAAGGGTTATAAATCCTCTAACAAAAAAAATCCAAAAAAGGAATCCCTATTCATTATACGTGAAAACAAATGGAAGTGCTAAGCACTCCATCCAAACAATTTCCCAGCCTGCTGTCTGTCTATCAAAAAAGAATGTGTTTGTTCCTTTCTACTTTCTTATAACAAAACTTCCTCAAATTTCTCATCAAACATGGTTGGAGGTTTCATACAAGAGGAAGAAAGGACCGACCGGGGGTGGGGTGGTTGGAGAGAGGAAGACAATGGCAGGATTTTGTAACTTTGTTTCAACTCCAAAAGCTGTCCTAACATCACCATATCTGCTCCAAATTTAAAAGCAACCAGGATGCAATATCGAAAACAACTTAAGAATCACAGATGTTCATTTCTATATTGCCACTTGGATGGAGGCTATATGTGACTTGATTCTTTTTTAGCCTGTTTTGGGCTAGTCTCTTTGGGGTATTCAGTACAGTCCTCTTTTTTTGTTGTGGATGTTTTTTCTCCTCTTTGGCTGCTTGTCAGTAGCATCTCCTTTGTAATTTAATGCCTCTAAAAGAAATTGTTGCTCTATCAAGAAAAAGGATAGCAAATGACCAGATAAAATACAACATTTAAATCCTAAAGTTACTACCTGAAAACCTAATGTAGCCGTGTGGCATTGGGTAACTTGTTTAGTCTTTTAAGTTTAGCTTATATTTGTAGTTCTTTTAAAGGACCCTTTTACTGTTTAGTAACTTCAAGTTACTATTGTTTGTTAGCTATTGTTAGTTACTTTAGTTGTTGTTAGTTGTAACCCCTATATATATAGGGTACTGTTTCAATTAATAAAAAACAGATTGAGATTTTCTCTTACTTCTTGAGTGAGTCTCCATCAAAACCTCCATTGTTGTCACTAAAATATGGAAACCTCTTTTAAGAACTCATCACCCACTTCCTTCTAAGAAGAGGTTTGGGATACGGATCGGATAGGAACTATCAAATAACTGCTGTAAGTCACTATTTTACCAAGACAATCTTATTTATTTTTTCTCATATACAAATTATATAAAGGGCACTTTATAATTAACTAACGTGTTTAAGATCCAAAACGGGGGAATGGGATAAAAGAAGAGTTTTTCAGAATTGGGTAACGCAAGTTCACGTACAGCCACATTTAATAAAAGAGAGTTCAACATTTGGATCTATCATCTATCTTTAATTTCCTTTGCGTGGATGACCTTCATGCTAGATGGTTTCATCTCAACGTGGAAACAATCTTGGGAGCTCATTCCCCACCTATTAAGGAACAGCTTGAAAAACTTGAACACTGAAAGCCAAAACACAAGAAAACTCAAAATTTTCAAATGTAAACCAATTCAAATACACCCATTAATAGGCTGACACACACCACCGATCCAAACAGTCGGGAATCCTAAATTTCAGCACGAATCTCTTAGCACTGGACAAACCACAATTCAGAAATTCGTAATACCAAAGATAAATCACATTCATGCCATGCAGCTTTATCGTGTTAAGACATACCTTGGAGGTACCGCGAAAGTGAGTCCAGGAGCCCCAGGCAGACGGATACGGATCGCCGATGTTGTATGGCAGATCTTTGAGCCCGGTCCCAGATCCAGCCACCACTCCCTTTAAGAACTTAAACATCTTCGGTCCTTTCTTCTTCCTCCTCCTCCTTCAGCAGATGGAAAGAAGAGGGAGCCCTGCCTGATTAGAAACGACGCAGTCTGCTTCGTGGTAATTTCAATAGCTATTATGGGGTCAAAGTGCGTTCACTGGTCTAATAGCGCCACGTGATTTCCAACTCGCGCTTCTACACTTCGACTTTCCGCGAATCACACTCAATATATCTCCAAATCAGACACGAATTTCATTAAACCCTGATCGAAATCTCAAATTCCCTTTTCCGTCCTGCTCCCCCTGCAACAGAATCGACAACCATCATATCACCACATACACAGAGATAGAGAGAACAAGAGAAGAACCGATATATCACAGTTACTTTTCAATTTCCATTCGGCTTTCAACTCGAGATTTGAAGAATTGGTGTAGAAATGTACAAAATGATGATACAAACTTACTACCCAATAGCGATTGCCACCACTTCGGTCTGTCCCCGTGGCTCTCCCCTCCCTGTATCAAATTTTCGACGAGCTTACAAAATAGTCTCTCCCTCTGAGCTCTGAAACTGCAAAAATTTCAAAGAAATCGAGAGGAAGATGAAGAACTGGAAATGAGCAAATCGATCTGACGTCGGTCGTCGGATCCGGTATGAAGGATGAAAATTGCAGGAGAGGAAGTGAAGAAATTTGTGAGATTGGCCAAATGGGACCGTTATGAGCAATTTTTTTATTTTTTACCCTCTAATTTTGGGGCGAAAAATATTTTATACATAAACTTGCCCAAGTGGATTAATCTTCAACGTAAAACCTTTTATTTATTTATTTATTTTTTTACTACTAACTTCGATGTAAAACCTAGACTTAAGTAAGTTTGGTAATTTTGTTTTTTTTTACTACTATCTTCGATGTAAAACCTAGACTTAAATAAGTTTGGTAATTTTGTTGAATTAAAAAAATAATAATAGTTATCAAAACTTACAAATTTTTTATTAAAAAAAATGTTTTTTTTGTTTTTAAATAGGACATGTGTGGAAAGGAGATTGAACTCACACCCTCTTAATTATAAATATATGTCAATTTTTGTAGCTTCAAGCAAAGTTTAGTGTTAATCAAAACATTACAATGGATAAAAACATCTATTACCATTTCGAAGGTCGATTCGTTCAATCCCCACCTTGTATTTGTTTAACATTGTATCACATATATATTTGGTTCATACCTAGCTTGTATTCTATTGTCGTTTTTTCTTTGAAATTTATCAATTTGCACCATATATTTTTTATAATTTATTGAATGCACGTAAAAATACTTTTAACAATTCTTCCAATGAAAATTCATTGGAAGAAAAATATTACAACACTTAATAAAGTTTTAAGGTAAAAATTGCAACACTTAGTTAAATTTTAAGATAAAAATTGCAATAGATATCCAAATTTGGTACAAGTCTACAAGTCACAAATGAGCTAATTCAATGAATAAGAGTTCCAAATGATCATTTGCACATAAAGGACGTGTGCTAGCGCCTAAAGTTTAGTTGAGTATAGTCAGAAGTAGGGTTATGTAACATATCTCAGAGGTAAGATCTCTCCTTCTATTTATACAATGGCAACATGGCATAAGGTCGACTCGGTGGTGATGGATCACCTTGGCTCGACAATTGAGGGTCTCACTTATGTCAGCTCGACTTAGCTAGGGCAAGTGCCTCGGCCGAGGTGACTCGACTTTTCCTCTAAACTAGCCAAGTTGAGGCGCAACTATTCTTAAGAGGTTTTTGTTTCCAACGACCGTTGCTTATATGCTGGGTTGGATAAATCACCAATGGCATTCCCCTTTCGAGTCTTCCACTGCCGATCAAATTATTTTCCTAGCCAATTTGGGTGTACGTAATTTTACTCACAACAGGTATAATCATTGAATTCTAAAATTTTGGATGAGAAGGAATATTTAAACCAAGGGGATAATTGTCCCCTTCTTCCTTTTCTGATCTGCCTCCTTCATTCCTAATTGTGTATAAAGAGTACAATAGAGTTGCCTTAATTGAACTACTCGTCTTTATCTGCAAAACATAATTTACGACAAAATAAGTATCATGTATTACGTCGTCCATGTGAGAAACCTCGAACACATGAGGAGGCAATCACATAAATAATAATGTTTTTTTTTGTTCGAGTTCAATAAATGCGGGCTAGTGACCAGACCTTCAACCTTAAGAGTAATAGATACCTTATCCACCGACCGAACTGGCACGTACATAATAGTAATGCACCTGAGCTATTCACTAATTACACTATTATCAAATCTTATTAGAACAGATGGTAAACTAGCAATCTTGGTTTTATTCCCCCCGTGTGATAAAACATAGTAGAGCATAATTACATCATATCTTGTCCGCTACAGTCATAGAAGGAATCCTTTGATTGCCACAGCAGGGTGGCTTAAAAGCAATATGGTTCACAGCTTAAATGAATCCAAATAATTAAATAGATTGAAATTTTACAACTTGCAGCAGTTAGAAAGAAGAGAAGATCAAAAACTCCTAAATCATCTTGGTAAACAATAGAACATAGACTACAGAAAGCCGCTTCACAAAAAAAATTCTCTCTCCCTATATATGCTTATTTGATGACTGGTTCTGAGGGAATGAAGCATGACATTTAAGTTCAGAATTTTTTGTTCTAAAATATGAATTCATACTAAGAACTTATTGCCAATAAATGAAAGCTTAAAGAACCTACCTGTTTTTCACACTCTATACTTCTGGATCATATATACTGCATCTACGGTCTTCATCGGGATCAGTTAAGTTATCCTGAAGTATATTTATTTGCCTGACCCCTGATATGGAAAACACAATTACGAGTGAGCTATCCCAGAAAGAAGTTCTGAAAGTGAGAAAATGTTCAGAGATTGGTAAACATCAGAAAAGATAATGGTTAACGTAAAACATGCCAGGGATGAGATCTAGTCTTTCGGTAGAACCCAAAATCAAAACTACGTGAACTTAGGTCCAAAGTAAAGACTTGTTATTCTAATGGGTCGTATCAGAGCAATTTCCTAGACTTAACCATGCCTCAAAGATGTAGTCGTCTAGAATTATAGATAAAGCATGTAGTGCATGTCCGTGGTGGAGGAAATCCAAGTGTTCCTGCCGGTCTGGGACAAGGCAGGATTTTGTGGCAAGTTGGTTTCTTTGTGGTCGTTTGAGGTCTTTGGTTAGTGAGGAAACATAGGAATTTTAGAGATATGGAGAGATCTTGGGAGGAGGTGTGATTGTTGGCGAGGTCTAATGCCTCCACATCAGCGTCAGGCTCTAAGGACTTTTGTAATTATCCATTAAGTCTCATTATTTTGAATCGAAACCCCTTTTTATATAGTTCAGTGCGGACTCCTCTGGTTTTGGGCTGTTTTTGTACACCCTTCGGCTTGTACTTTTGTTCCTTTTCCTCCTTTTGCTCAATGAAAACTTGGTTTCTCCAAGGAAAAAAAGGCCAGAAATTTCATATCAACCTGAAAAGTATCCTCCTTGCGATAAGTTTATGCTTGTGATGTGGTCTTCATGGTTATTGAGAAGCCCATATCATTTGTCTAACTATTTACATAAGCTCATCATGCTGCAATAGGTCGGAAGTTACATCAAATAAGACCGTAATAACTTCAAGCTCAGTTTTCTCCTTTCATGACTGTTAGGCGACTTTGCTATACTTAATATAAGAGAGAAAAAGAGCCAAAACTCCATTACAACAAGAGGAGGCTCTTGCATACTTGAATGGGGCAGAAGTGAAAGTACATTTTTCACTTTTCACCAGTAGTCATTGCAGGAACATTGACCACCCTTGAAATGGTGGAACCGAACCCGGTCTCTAACAATTATTTCTCGGTTGAATGCCAACGAGACAGCTTTTACGAACGAATGACAGTCTCTGCAAACTCTAAGGTTTTTAACAATTCGGATCTGTGTCCCATCTGCAGTTCTTGCCAATCCAAATGCAATTGCAAGTTTCTCACTATGATATGAACAAGAAGTCTCCAGAATCTCTGAGGTGGAAAACACGTCGGTTGTAGAAAAATACCCATCTCCTATATATCCAAACAAGGAAGCTTGATGAATAACTTCCTTCAACTTCTCATAAACTTCAATGTAATAACGATGGGACTTGTCATCAACCACAAATTTATGAACTTGTTCCCCAATTTCAATCCAACTCCAACCCGGGGTAGTCTTTATCCCTTGGCTCCTAATCATTTTCCTCATTCTTACAACACCGCTTGTATTCTTCACTCCAGCATAGATTGTAGCCAGCAATATACAATCTCCTGCATTTGTAGCACCAAGCTGAGAGAGATTGTTCATGGCAATTTCTCCTATTCCCACATTTTTATGAATTTTACAGGAGCCAAGTAAGATACGCCACAGCACCGGATCATTCTGCGATGAATTCAATATAATCTCAAGTGCCTTTTCGAGCTTCCCAGCTCGACCATATAAATCCACAAGGCATCCATAGTGTTTAACCTCAGGTCTTAGCCTAAACTTGGAGCTCATCAAATTGAAGAATTTAACGCCTTCTTGAACTAAGCCTTGATGACTACATCCGCAAAGTAAACCCAGAAATGTGACAGAACTTGGTTGAATTCTTGCCTCTAGCATCTGTTGGAAGCAAAATATAGCTTCAGTCCCTCGACCGTGCACTCCATACCCAACAATCATCGAGTTCCAAGTGAAAACATCCTTCCTCTGCATTCTATCAAAGATAAGAATGGCTTGATCCAAACTACCACATTTAGCATACATATCAATCAAGGCATTTCCAACATAAAGACTCTCCACAAGACCCTTTTCACGAGCAAATCTATGCATCTGAACCCCAATATTCAATGCTCCAAGATGGGCGCACGACGAAAGCAACCCAACAAGTGTAAACCCATCTACATCCACATTTCCACTTCTCATCTGATTGTATGTCTCTAATGCCTCCTGGTGCAAACCCTGTTGAGAATAGCAAGAAATCATAGCATTCCAAGCCACTAAGTCTCTTGTAGGCATTTTGTCGAACACCTGTTGGGCAACACAAATAAACCCCATTGCCGCATAACATTTCATAAGATTGGTGCAGATAATAACATCCCCATCATAGCCCCAGCGGATTACAGAACCATGAACTTCTCTGCACTTGCGCTCTGCCTTGAGCCTTTCACAAGCTTTGAGCACAAATGAGAAAGTGAAAGTGTCAGGGGGGGAGAGCGAAGCCCAAACCATTTGGTTATAATAAACAACGGCTTCAATGGGAGATGCGCTCTGCGCGAAGCCTCTGATGATGGAGTTCCAGGCTTCGGTTTGTGGGCAGTCCATGTGGCGGAAGAGAAGCCGAGCATAAGGAAGGGAACCTGAAACCGAAATGGCGCAGAAGTTCAAAAGCTTGTTTCCAATGGCGGCGTGATGGCGGAGGCCGCTTAGGATTACATGGGCGTGGATTTTCCGAAGCTTGTTGAGGCTGTTGCAGCCTTGCAGGAGAGTGAGAATGGCCTTTTCGTTTGACATTTTTAAGTTTCTTTGTCATGGTAATATGAACCGAAGCCAACAATTTGATGTAAGATCAAGAATTTCGCGTATAATCTTAGACCCACGTGCTTCATTCTTGGGAATTTGGGGAAAATGGGCGATGGGGTCGTTGATTTCTGATCTTTCTCATGATCGGTCGCACACACCCACAAAATAGTAATTGGGAGAACCCCCATCTACACGAGGAATCCATATATTTTCTTTCACTTTCTTGTGATATGGTTTTTGCATATGGGCGATTAAGTTACAAGTTTCTATGGACTTTCGAGGATTTTTTTTTTTTAATTTTAAAAATTGTTTATTTTCAAACCTATTTACAAAATAGCATTTGAAATCGTCTCTTCAAGAGACAACTTTGACGCCGTTGATATTTTGTAAAATATAAAATAAAGTATTAATTATATATTATATATTAAATTATAACATATCATTTTTAACAAGACCAATTTAGAGAACACCCTAGACATTGATACAGTGGCAAAAAGCTTGAGTGTTACACCCAAGATTCAAATTCGAGCACTCAAGTGTCTAGAAGTAAAAAAAATACAAGACCAATTTGGAGCAGTGATTGTACCACACACCTGATTTCTTCGAGCTGGGGGTAGCTGCTTCTTTCTTTAATATTAATCAACTTTTTACTTTCATTTTTATTATTATTATTGAAGACTATAATCATTATATTACATATATTATTATTTATTATATAAATAATTTTAAAGCCAATTTTAAAATATAACAATATAATTCATCTTTAAACAAAATATATATGTATATATTTCAAAATTGTTGTTTTAAAAAAAATCAAAATTTTTGTTTGCAAAGTATGAAATATGATTCAAATCATATTTAGATTTTTCTTTAATCAGAAAAAACAAAAATGTTGTTTGCAAAATTTCTCTAAAATAAGAAATAAGACAGAAACAAGAGAAAAAAAACAGTTACAAAAACACTTGTGTTTCTTAAAAAATTAGAAACAAAGAATAAGAAACAGAAATATTATCAAAAGGCACTATATTTCTCACTAAACAACAATAAAGGTAAATCAATTACATTCTTCACCCCAGCAGAAAAACAGCATGTTTAATGAATTTGCTGTGTAAACAAAATTTTGCAAATAAACTCGAGGAACCAGACTGTAGATCTCCTCAGTGTTCTCAGCCTACTTTTTCTTTTTTTCCAAAGGATTTTCATGGAAGACAGAGCTTTATCCAGTTTCCCTGAGAATTGCAACTACATCCTCTGCAAAATCTGCTTGAGCCAGGAACTGTAAACAAATAGCCAAATTGGGTAATTTGAATATGGAATTAAAAACTATTTCTGATGATCTCAAGTTTACTAGACTGTGATACTTAGTGTTTCAAAAATTTAGAAAATCTAACAATGAGAGATAAATCGTGCTGACCTAAGCATAACTCTAAGTGTTCCAAACCAAATCTCTTCCCATGGCAATGGAATACTAGCAACCCACAAAGGATGACAAGAACTTTTACCAACTTGGGCAATCTGGTATTGTGCTTAAATATTGCAAAAGTAAGAAGTGCTTAAAATGTATAAAGAAAGAACAGTATTAGACCTTAATCAGCGCTTTCGTTCTTTCCGCCACTTGTATATAGGTTTTGAAGTCGGATTGGCGAGTTCATCTTCCCCAAGTTTACGTTTGCGTCCTTTTTTCTGTTAGAAGCATGTATAACATTTCAGATTCAGCGTCATTTTATTACAGCCTATCTGTCTACAAAACTGGAGCAGGCTACTAAAACACATTAAAAAGTACCCTTAATTCCTGTTGCAGTGTCATATCCATATAAAGTTTCTCTAATTCACTGACTCTACTCCTCCTTGCCTCCAATTCTTTGTAAGAAGCAACGGTTTTCCTGTGTTCAGAAAAAGAGCTTCACTAACCAAAATAAGGAAATTACGTACAAATCAGGCAACAGTTAAAGCATTGGAAACGAGATCCAGAAATGAAAATCGTTTTGCAGTGTAAAATATGCATCACTTACTAGCATGAAGTTCTTAGTATTATTCTCAGACATGAGACAATCATTGTAAAAAAAACCAATGTCAAGAATTTTGATTTGCACCATCATCATGCAAGATAAATTCTATAGAGAAACAATACTTTAATATGAAGCATCCACACCACAGAATATTGCAAGTGATTCCGTCCCAATTTTCCAATTAGTTAAAACTAAATCAAATGTAAATGCAACTGCCTCCCTTATTATTAAAAGCCACGGCCATTCCTTTTTTGTGATATCTGTGTAAATTCAGCATAACTGCTGCATTGGATAGAACATAAATATTGATGTTCCACATGTAAATGATTTACTTGCAATTAAGCAACCAAAACTATATTACAAGGAATGTCACTAAAGAGAGAATATTCAACGGAGGTAAAGGAGTGGGAAGAAGTTTTTTTTTGGCTAAATCATTCTGTTCCTGTAGGTACTCACCCGTTCAGTAATACCCTTGTAATTAAATATAATCGGAGTGGATTTATGGAAACTCCTAAAGAGGTGCTTCCTTTCCATTAGCCTGATTTATATTTCTAGATCAACCTAAAAGTGTCCTGCTTCGATATAAAAATGCAGCAGTTTGTATCCTCAGTAATAATGTTACCTTCTAATACTATCAGGAACTGCCTCAGAAGATGCCGCGGATCTGCCGTTGGTAAAACGGGATTGAATTTTGTTGGCCTCCTCCCTGCAAGTAATCAACAATGATTTAAAACACAAGTAACTTCACTGCAATAGAATGAACAGAAAGCAAATGAGTCATGGCTGACTTTCTGCAAAATAAAAAGCTTGAATGCGTTTTAATAAGATGACATAAAGGCTAAAGCAACAATTTGAATGTCCTTAAGTTTATACTTGTCTTATGTTGGAAATGTGTTCTCAAGTATGGCTGCTATACTGAAAATTTGTGAAATCCTAAAATAAAGAGGAATTTCTAAATTTTATTGTGTCACAGTGTTTTATCTCATTTGTATTTTGAAAATCGAAGTCAAGGCGGTCGTTATATAATTTCACCCATTTAATTCAGACCATGGATTATCTGATACATTTTTTATATGGAAAGTGGAAAAAGATTCAAATTGAGCTCAAACCTGTCTTCAGCAAAGTAAAGATGCTTATTTGATGGCTGACTATCAAGAGAATGTAACGTGGCTGTCAATTTTTCAATTTTCTGTACAGAAGAGTGAGAATTTAATATAGTAGACAATTTCATAAGCAAATCAGTTCTTCAAAGGACTCCTTGTTAATTAAGAAAATTTAAGCTCGCAGAGAACTCACCTTTTTCTCACTCTGCATTTTCTGAAGTATATAGCCAGAATCTTGGGTTTTCATCAGCATGAGTTGCTCTGCAGTATACTTATTTGCCTGACTCCTACAGATCACAAAGGTTAAGAGATTTAAGCAAATTGAAAGAAGAGCTGAAAATCAATCGTTCTAAGAAATTATCCAAAATGGTTACTCTAGTTTATGGACTCCATCAACTGTTCTCGTCCTAATCATCTTAAAGTAAAATTCATCTGGATTCCTGAAGGCTGCCTTCTCTTTAAGTATCTGAAAATCATCAATGGGAAAAACACATAACAACCAATTAAGAACATGCTGATACTTGATATAATTCAAGAAACAAACAGAAAATTTACCCGTAAAGTATCCTCCTTCTTGTGATAAGCCTTAGCACGCTCGATATAGTCTTTGTGTTTCTCAAGAAGCCCAAATTTCTTCCGAGATTGCCTAATCAATTACATAAATCCACCATCCAGCAAGAGGTCAGACATCACAATTTTTTGCTTTCAAAAGAAACGATCGTAGCAAAACATGAAAAATCCTATCACTTACGGCTGAGCTCGCTCCTTGTAAGGCCGTCGAGAGACCGCATTCTTTAGGGACGACATTTCTATCAACAAGAGAGCGGATGAGCGAACCAAAGCGTATGAACTTTTGCAGCTCAAAATCCAAATCAAAACAGAGAAATTAGAAGGAAAAAAACGCGGAAGGCGCTGGAGGAGGAGGAGAAATAATTTGAGAGAGGCGGCCGGTGGCGGAGCTGGAGGCGGTCGGCGGCGGAGATGTGGGTTGTCGGAAGAAGCAAACTTTCGGGGAAGGAAGTCGAGAGTAGTGCTTAGGGTTGTTTAAAAAACATCAAAATCTTTTATTCTTCTTTAGTTTTTTAATTATCAAAGTTGTGTCTTCGTGGGCTTCAAAAGAATCTTGAGCTTGGGCCTACGAATCTTGGGCTTGGGTCTTAGTGGGCTGAAAGTGGGAGAATAGGTTACTAGAGCATAGTTGAGCGGGCTAAGATACATGTATTCAACCAGTATGTCGGGATAGGAGATCGAATTCATAATTTAATGAACTAAGTTAAATAAATWAATTAATTAATAACTACAAATATATATAAAAATCCATAATTTATAAGAAAAAATTAGTACTTATATAAACGTAAGGAAATATGTGACCTTGTTAGGTCTATATAAGATACCAATTTTTAGTGTTAATTTATCTCTAAATAATTTGCTCTTCATAATAAGCTTATGGGATATGGATCAATAGATCGAATTAATATATAAAGATATTAAGTTATAGACAATAAGACTTCTTATTTGAGTAGGAAAGAATTCAATTTTTTTTCTTTTTGTTTCATCTATATTTGATACAAGACTCGTCCATTCAATTGTGCTCTACTTTGAAAGGAAACTTTTTTATTCTTTGTTCTTACTAGCGAGTTTTTTTTTTTTTTTTTTTTTAATTATTGTGTGTTGTATTAAAATTGATTTGGTTGGATTCATATATCATATTTTATAACAAGTTTAACAAAACTCATCTTAATCTCTTTGCATATCCTACTATTCAAGGTCACATTTGTAATACAAATATATCCGATGATCAGTAATCTGTTATATAATTTTCAATTTTGGTCCTTTATTATCTATTAACATTTTTCAATTTTATTCCTGATGTATTAAAAATCACAAATTAGGTCCCTAAGTAACAACAAATTTGTTATATTTTGTTAATGTGCCTATTTAAGTTATTGTGTTTATTAATGTATCTGAATTTGTAGATATGTCTCTTAAAATAAGTAAATTTTATTGATGATTGATGAATGGATTGAGTTTGACTTTTTAGTGCGTTGAGTTTCATTTGTCAAGTAGCATTTGGGTGATACGCATTCAGATTGAATTGAGTTCATTATTAAATATTTAATCATCATTTAAACTGACCCAACAATAGAGAAACTTTGCGTACAGGTGCAACATGGTCATAAATGAGAAAGTTTAATCTGTTGAAATTTTGTAAATATTTCATCCATAAACAAGGTTTTAAGAATTAATGTCGATGGAAATGATGAGATCTAAAAAATGCATGAACAAGAGAGACAAATTTAATTATTATTATGAWTTTTTTTTACTATGTGACTCTAAATCTATTAGAAAACTTATACTAAAAGAAATTCAAAACTAAATATTTATTGCCCCATCAACCTAAAAAGTAGGTTAAATTATAAATTTAATATTTGAATTTTTAAGTTTGTGTGCAATAGAATRCTGAACTTTAAAAAGTATTTAATACATTATTAAATTTTCAATTTTGTGTCTAATAGGTATACTATTTTTAAAAGTATCYAATAGACTTTTGAAGTTTCAATTTGTGTCCATTCTCAAATWGATCCCTAATTTATTGAATATTTTTTTAAAATTAACAAGATTAGATATTAAATTGAATTTTTTGTGTTTAATATGTCCATAAACTTTCAATTTAGTGTCTAATAGGWTCGTGAATTTTAAAAAACATCGAGTATGTCGATGACTACTAGACAAAAGATTGAAAGTTTAGAGAYTCATGAGATACAAAATTGAAACTTTATGGACCTATTAATAATAATAATAATATTGAAATTCAAGACTGAGTTAAAAAAAAAACATTAGACATATACCTAAAGTTTCAAAGGCTAAATTTGTAATTCAAACTTAAAAATTAATATAAAAACATCACATCATTTTTCCTTTTTAAGTAACTAAAAAAAATAGGGCACAAACTCCAATCAATTAGAACATGGATTTGATGTCTTGGATTGCACTATTAGCTAAAAGATGAAAAAATTAATAATGAAATAATGGAAGGAACTTTGAATTTCAAGTTTGATTTATTAGGTGAGGTCAAAAATTATCGAAAGGTTTATTTGAGTTGAGATGGCTTTAGCCTCTTAACTTTTATGACGTGCATTTTAGTTCTTGAACCCCAACAAATAAAAATAAAAATTAACTATTTTGATCTTTCTTATATTATCGTGTCATCTAAATATTAATTTATCTCATAATCTTTTTAACMTATGTGATTTGAATATATGCTTACGTTAAAATATCAGTATACATATTCAAAACAGTATTATCAATTCTTTCGAAAGTTTAGAAACTTGTTTGATCAGGAAAATGACCAATACCGCGGACCTCGACTTGGATTGAGAGCAACTCAATGGATGAGCTGGGAGTAGCTCGCCGGATTAAACTCGAGAGATAATTTAGTATTTGCGTACCTGAAAACGAAGTGAATGGATTCTGTTTATAAGTGATTTCTCCAACAATATTCCCGACAAGGCCTGTGAATCACGACGTGTTGTCGTGTAGTCTGTCGAAGACTGGAGGTGAGCCAAGGTGAAACTAATCAGTAGAGCAAATAAATAAGAATGCTTTTACATCAAGCTTGATCGGCTCGGCCACGTAAGACGTCGGTTCGTTCAAGGAACGTATGACCGAGTTGAGGAAACTTGAAGTTGTTAATGACTTAATCATCCAACCAATATGTGCCACCTATGAGCCGAAATCTATCTCCAATAAAACTAAAATATAATAAACTTAGAATTTTAGCTAACATTCTCAAAGCTGAGAGACTAAAATGAAATAATCGAAACTATTGGTGAAAGGGACTAAGAAAGATATTTGTTAATAGAATAATCTTCCTCTTTTTGGATCATTCCACACATTTTTTTTCTCTCTATAATTTGATTGATATTATTAACATTATCCTAATTATTTTTCACCCTCATCCTCAATTCATCATGTGGCTTGAAACTCGAAACGAACCCAATTTTGCAAATTTTGCAATTTTCAATTCTCAATTTGGCTTTTAAATAATCGAAGAAGGCGTCTGTTCAAGCTTCAACATCACTCATTGATTGCCATTGCCAACTCTGTTTCTCCCCAATAATTCTCATTCATTCTCGTCCATCTCTCTCTCAATCGCCATTTTTCTTGTTCGAGAAATCGACCAGATCCTCCCCTTCCGCTGAATTTTCACCCTGTTCGTTGTGTTCTTGTGATTGTTCCGTGGTGTGGGTCGAGCCGAGAGAGCGATCTTTCATGGGCATTAACTCTGCACCTTCCTCTTCCCTCGTTATTCATTGTCAATGGCGGATTCTCTTTTCCCTGCGTTTCTGAGCCTCCGCCGATTGCCTATTACTTGTTTTGATCTCTTGCTTATCTTCCTCCATTCTCTTTTATAGCTTTCGCCCCCTTTCTCCGGGTTTTCCGGCCTCTTTCTCTCTCTCCAGTAGTCTGCCGTTCGGTTCCCGAGAAAATTGAGAGCGAGCGAACAGAACCTCGGTACTTTTCCTTTCAAGGTTTGTTATACTCTCTTTTTATTGCTCTGCGGAATTTAATATTATCCTATTCTTCATTGTTGTACTTGGGTCTTGGGGGTTTTTTTTAATAATTAATCTGGTGGATTTGGATCTCAAATCAGAAAGAAAGGGGAGAATCTTTCCGTTTCTTTCAGTTTTCGCGGTTCTGAGAATCGTTGGGAAGCTACTGAATCTTGAATTCCCGGGAACACAGTGGCCTGCGTGCCCTGCTGATAGTAATCTTGAGGGAATTTGTATCCAAAATTGATCTCATAGGGATTGGTTTCTTTTGTTTTTTGTTGGGTTTGTTGCAGAGTTATCATGGCATCGGTGTTTCTTTACCATGTGGTTGGGGATCTGACGGTGGGAAAGCCGGAGATGGTGGAGTTTTACGAGACGGAGACGATTGAAACGGCGATAAGGGTGATTGGAGAGTCGACAGAGTGTGGAATTCCGATTTGGAAGAAGAAAACTCATGTGGGAATGATTGAGAATGGTGAAATGAAACAGCAGAGATTTGTGGGGATTCTCTCTTCCTTGGATATTGTGGCCTTCTTGGCTAGAACTGAGCATTTAGAGGATCAGGATAGGGCAATGAAGACCCCAGTTTCAGAGGTCATCGTTCCCAACCAGTCATTGTTGAGGCAGGTCGATCCTGCAACAAGGTTAGCCTCTTTTACTTGGGATTTTGCTTTACTCGTTTCTTAACTTCATATGTTAATGTCACTGTGTTTCTTTTTTCTGATTTGATCCAATTCTAATATTTGATCATCTAATTACGATGTTTGGCTGATGGAATATTGTTAATTGTTCTTACCTGAAGCATTTTGAAGTAATTTTATTGGATGCTATCAAAAGTAGTACTGTTTCTTCTTGTTTTCTTCTGTAGAATTTTGGTACTTCGACTCTGATTCCTATTGCAGTCAATGTGCAAATCTATTGCCTGTTAACTTTTGACTGTTTTTCGAGTGTTATGGGTCTTCACAAGTTATGATTATCCAACTTTTTAGATTTGCTTGCATAGTGCTTTTTAGGTTTACTTTTTTTATGCTCTTCTTTTTCTTCTTCAAATCTCTCAAATATGCGACTTACTGGTTTTGGAGTCTTTTATTTAGCAATTGGATTTAAACTTGCAGTTTTTCAACTGTAAATGACCCGAGTTATAACTAGAATATTGATTTTCGATGCGTTTCTTATAAATCTTCTACTAAACATACATATTTCAGCAAAAAAATAAAAATTATTCTTTATATTTTGATTTTTTTTAGAACAGTTAAAACCTACCTAATGATTATGAGAAAATATATACATAGGTCCATGGATAAGTATGGATTGTCTCTGGATAGTTCGAAATGTAATTATATTATAGTTCATGTTACTTTCTTCTTTTTATTTAACATATTGTAATATGTCCTATTTGGACAATTTTGTAGTTTAAACAGTTTGTTCTTGTTCTGTTCTCCCACCAGCAAATAGAATACTGTTTTAACCAAGAAGAGTTTATACATGTAAGCCCTTGCTAGACTCAAAAGAATGAGATTTATTTATTTATTTAAAAACAGAGGAACTTTTCACTGATATATGAAAATATTAATAAAAAATGAACGGAGAAATCTAATAACAACACTTTTTTATTGATGTAAGAAATAGAAATACTTTTGATTGATGTACTTTTGATTGATGTATGAAAAGAGTAAAAAATGAACAGAGAAATCTAAGAACAACAAAGAAAACTACCTGGCCAATAGCATGCGAGATTGCTGGAAATTGAGTAAAAGTGGCAATAGAGACAGTAAAACAGAGACAACCTGTTTAACAAAGAACAACCTGCAGACTAAAAATTATAAGGTATCCCGAAATAGAAAATCCTTTGGAGTCGAACAAACTTTATAAAAAAATCCTTTAGTGTAGCATGACTGTATTCTGTTCCCATCTCATAATTATTCACATATTCATCAGTCAAAGTCTTATCAGCTTCTGGAGATTTTTTGTCAGTAGGACACCTAAAGTTTTTCTCCCTGGTTTTTAAAGTCACTGGTTTAGCTCGTTTCAGATGCGTTTGACTCAAGAAACTAGAGTAGCTGGCTGATAATTAAGACTTGTTTGTTTACAGTTTTATTTTTGTTGTTTTGCTTTTAAAAATCTAGCTTATAAATAGAATTTATACCTTGCTTTCTAGTTTGCCACTTTTCATAAACACCCTTTGAATTCCTAATCGAATTTCAAAAACAAAGAACAGCTTCGTGAAAACTAATTTTTTTTAGTTTTAAAAATTTGGATAGGATCTTAAAAACGTTTTTGAAATAAGATTAGAACTCAAAGAAAATGTTAGTAAATAAGCATGAATTTAAATAAAAGAAAACAACAAAAATGTTATCAAACAGGTCTTTAACTCCCAAGTAATGTATTTTTCACCGAATGCATGCTCCAATAGTCAACATTTTGAGATCAGCAGTTCAGACAATTGGAAAATGTTCATAAGGACAAGAATTTGTTTGTTGCTTCCGATTTTACAGGCTTTCAATAGGATCAATTACCTTCTGAATGGTACTTTGTTATTTCTTCGCAGTCTTGCAAATTAGTTTTCATCTGAATCAATGACACTAATCTTAAGTTAAAAGATTACTAGCTTGGGCTCTATTTGTGGTATTTTAGACTCATGAAGAAAAAAGTGCTTTCTTAATGTTACTAATAAATGATGGGTACAATCTCTTAAGATTAAAGGTGACCAAATTTAAGAGCTCAAGTTTACGAACTGTGTTTGATATGAAAAGTAGATATCAGTGGTTCTCTCTTCCCTTCAATTTTTTCTCATGAAAATAATATATCTTTTTGTAACGTTTATGATTTCCGTTATGTTTTTTTGAGTGCAAACAATTTGGTTTCTCAAAGGTTGTCAATCAAAAAGTTTTTAATTATGGCGTTAGCTTTGAACAGTGCAGGCAGGAGTTAACAAGTGTTTGCCATTACGAAACTGACCATCATAGTTTGAATCAAGATTTACAAAGGAATCTCTAGGGTTGTAAATGTTGCAGAGGATTTTAGCTTATTTTTAGCCTCGAGGTGGACTATTCAGAAGTATTTTTGTGATTACACTTCTTTTTAACAGACCAATTAGAGTCTTTTAGTAACCTCCCTTCATTTCTTAGTTGATTTGGACTCGTTATCCAGAGGGAACCAATTTTGCCTTTGGATCTCGGACCTTCTACCGGATGTAACAAGAGACCGATTACAGATAGGGTCTTACTACGTCAGCTTTCTTTTTTGCTTCAAATCTTATTGGTACTTGGTAGTTATAGTTATCCATTGACTGGATAGCCTTTTTTCTTGTCTTCGTGTTGTTGTAATTGAAGGTGCTTAGTTATTTCTTGAGGGCATCATTTAGCAATTCATAGGTTGATGATAGATTAAGAGACCCTAGAAACTACATGAAAGAAATTTGTTGTTATCCTTCTTAATTGTGTTGGTGTGACGTTCAATTGACTTAACCTCTTGATTTGTCCTTGTGAAAGATTGATAGACGCATTGGAAATGATGAAGCAAGGCGTGAGGCGTCTCCTAATTCGAAAGAGTGTGGTGTGGAAAGGGATGAGCAAACGGTTTTCCATTCTCTATAACGGCAAGTGGCTCAAGACTATTGATACCCCTTGTGGTAGCAGCAATAATCTCAACATAAATGCTAATCGCCCATCGTCGTCTTCCACCTCTGGCCATGAGAAGTTCTGTTGTCTGTCGAGAGAAGATGTCATCCGTTTCCTTATTGGTTGCCTGGGTGCCCTTGCACCACTCCCTCTATCCTCCATCTCTACTCTAGGAGTCATCAACCCAAACTACTGCTCGATTGATGCCTCGACTCCTGCAATCGATGTTACTCGTAAGCTTCCTGACGATCCTATTGCAGTTGCTGTTGTGGAAAACATGCATGATGATCAATATAAGATCATTGGAGAGATCTCAGCCTCCAAACTTTGGAAATGCAACTACTTGGCTGCTGCATGGGCTTTAGCCAATCTTTCTGCTGGGCAGTTTGTTATGGGGGTAGAAGACAACATGACCTCACGAATGGTCCCCGATCTTTCGGCTAACGCTAGCATTGGCGAAAACGACTCTGCCAATGCCGGTGGAGCAACACGGGCGAAGAAATTCAGCAGTAGAAGTATTGGATTCAACCCATCGAGTCCGACATTTGGGATCAGTCGGAGCATGTACCGGGGCAGAAGCGCTCCCTTGACATGTAAAGTTACGAGTTCATTGGCTGCTGTTATGGCTCAGATGCTTTCTCACAGGGCAAGCCATGTCTGGGTAACTGAGGATGAAAATGATGATATTTTGGTTGGAGTTATGGGTTACAATGATATTTTAGCTGCAGTTACCAAGCAACCTGCGTCGTTTACACCGGCAAGCGCCTCAGCGAATCGCTCCTACGAGGCGCTCGGAAATTCGATTCAAATCTAAAATTGTTGTTTCTTCATCAATTCTACTGCTCCACAGTGCTCCCCTGTGTAGTTTAATTTTTAATTATATAAATGTGTATACGCGAGAGAGATTTGAGCTTCATGTGAACTTGTTGCTTCCATAAATTTTTGACAATGGAACTGTCGTATTAGTTATTTGTACTGAAGATTTGATTTGAGAGTGGTTTTAGTAAAAATTGTTAAAATTATCAAAAGTGTTTAATAGCAAATCATTTTGAATGTTTGATTTTAAAGTGCTTTGGAAAATTTATTGATCATTTACATAGCTCAAGGCTCAAAATCATCGTATTGGCTGTTTTCTCTCACCATTATTTAAAGTTCTTTTATGTTATTTTCAAGTACGGATAAGTTTCAGTGAGTAAAAATGCTTGTAGGCACCAAAAGCACAATATCAATAAATAAATTAATATTATTTTAGATTAAATTAAATATTTAGTTGAAACTACTACTAGTTTGCAGACATATTGTTAAATGCACAAGCCGTGTTTTCATTGAGACCTTTGTTCTTAAATTTATGTTTCTTGATTATCAACTAAATGCACCTTTAAGAACTATATAATAACTCACGGAAGCAAAGCGTAATTTACTAAGTTATACTTCTATTATACTGTATACTATACACTAATAATTTAATAACTCACCGGTAATTTACAAAGTTTTAATCCAATTTCAATATTATTAATTGAAAAAGGAGAAAAAGTAAGACTAATGAGACATGAGTTGTAGAAGGAAAAAGAAATTAAAACACAAGGCAAAAAGTAATTATTAGGTAAAATGGAAATAGTATATTTTCTAAAACATTTTAGGTACCCCTAGTGCATTTTTTTTCTCTAAACAAAATTTGGTTTCCATCAAGCAAGGGGTGGAATCTTCTTCCCACTTAGCCCGCGTATATAGCTCGACTAGTTAAGATATTTATCTTATGACTAAAAGGTCATGAATTCGAATTCCAACTTCCTATATTGTACAAAAAAAAGATCTATAGGTAGTTTGTAATGAAATGTCATAAAAATATCGACAAAAGGTCAATATCAATAATAAATTTTTTGTAGTTTCCTCTAGTTTACCCTCTCTAAATTGTTAGAATGGAAAGATTATATATTTAAGTTATATCGTAAAACTTTGCCCCTCCTTATAGAAATTCCTGGATGCACCCCTTGACTTACACTTCAGGGTTGGGGAGCTCGGGCAGGGGACTTTTCTCTTCTCTAACGACCCTTGTTTTTACAATCACCTCAATTATATGTCTTTTAGAATTAATTTTTAGATTTTGTGAGAGAGAAATAATGCATATTTTTCTCTATTCCTTATTATTATTTTATTTTTATAATAAACAAACTTCATCTCAAATTAAAAAAAAATCATTATAAAGACAGTATGATGCGACAAGAATATATAAAAAGTTTAGTCACATAAGTAGGCTGAGAATAAGAGAGCATCAAAATTTTTGAAGTCTAAAGAGACAGGCAAGTCACTTGAGAAGCACATGAGATTAGACACATATGAATATGCTTGGAAAAAAAAAGGAATGAAGTATATATGCCTCTCAGCTCGTCTCTTCAACAATATTTAGACGTGAGAATTCGAATCGTCGTAATAAAATTTTAGAGCGGAGGAGAAAATTAGAGAGAAAACCAACTTTGAAATCCTCGTAGAAGTAGTAGTAATAATAATGATAATATTCAAAATATCACATAGTGAGATGAATGGTCGAGTAGTTAATATATTGTGATATTTTTTAAACGTCTTAGTTAACTTATTAATGACAGTTTATTGTTAACTGTCGTGCTTGCTATTTTCTTGATAAACAATAGAATGATGTTGAAAAATGTCACAGGATCTATTTGTGACGTTTTTTTTTTAAAATGCCACATAAAATCAAGTTTATAATATTTCAACAAGGCTCGGGCTTCTCGTTGGTTTTATTTCAAGGTATTCCCTTTCATTAGCTACCCGAGGTCAGACCTTGACTGAAAGGAAAGAGAAGGGACAAGTGGCTCTGATAACACATAGAACGCTGTTTTGATAGCATTGCTGAACCTGTTGCCACTCTCTGGCTCTATATCTCCTTCCCTTTTTCTCGATCTCCAGATATAAAAATTTTAGAGAGAGACATATTAAAAGAGGAAAAAAAAAACATAGGGAGAGAGTTATAGAGATGTCAAAGAGAGAATAGAGAAAAAAAAGTATCATTTTTTGAATGTAATTTTGCTTCGCCTATCGTATGTATTGGCTTGGTTTTGTGGAGAACCAAGTGCTACAAGTTTATAAAGATATTACTATATAATAATTTTTAAGATTCAATTTCCAAATCTACTACTAAATACACATAAAAAAGACATGGAATACAATTTTGTTTTTAATTGAATATATTGTTTTCAGATTCTCAACTAAACGCACCCTAAAATATCCCGAAAAGATAAAGACGAAAAACACAACTCCAACTTAGCTACCATATCAATCTCACAAATCTAATGCTTCTAGAACAATTTAGTTCCTAATAACTTAAAGGTTAAAAAAAAAAAACTGACGATGGTCATCTAATTTGAGAATTAATTTTGATGTATTTTTCAACACTAAATATTGTAAGATCAGATAGTTTTTCCATAAAATTAGTCGAAAGACGCGTAAGTTGGCTCGAACACTTAATGATATAAAAAAAAGGAAAACTCAAATATTAAAAAGATTATGGTGGAGGTTGTTTGAATGGCCTTACGTGTGAAGAAACGGAAATGGAGTTCCCCTTTAAAACCCAAAGCAATTGAATTGGTGTCCAGCTAAGACAATTCCAGTTATAACCATTGAGATCGTGACAAGTGTCTTCTTAGCAACCACAAACTCTCTACTCTAGAATCTGTTCTTGTTGGCTCAATTATTTTATTCATAATCTAATATTTATGCACACAATTCTCTCAACTTTCACATTCCATTTTAGAATGGATGTTTATTTTATATATATATATATATATATCCCTAATTTAAAAATAGTACATAAAAAAACATGTTTGTAATTTTCGAAACTATTAACAAAGGTGTATGTGGCTGATTACGGGTGTTTCATGTTAAGTTTTTCCTCTTAAATATGGAAGACACTCGTAAAAAAAAAAAAAAATAGTAACCTTAGTTGTGACAATGTCCGGTGGAAGACTACTTATAAACTATCTCATGACTTGTTCTTTGTATCAAACTAAATTTATGTAAATTTTTGTATCCATTTTTGTGCTTTTACTTGTGTTTTCATGTTCTTATCTAGTTGGAGATTGTATCATGAATTAACAGGTAAATGTTAGGCCTAAAATTGCGACGAGTCGATTGAACGTGGTCATGTCATGTGTATAAATTCTATTTAAAACTAAGTGAATTGAGGGTGTGATTTACATACCAATAGGGACATTTGAAATCATTTTTGAAACAGGATATTATTTGTAAAAAGTTAAAATATAGTTTTGGTACCTAACAATTACTTCTATTTCTAATTTCGAGTCGGCCCTCGAGTTTATTTTCCAAACTTAATCTTTACTCAAACATGACACTCTATTAAATTGTCGATTCATATTCATGTCCACGTATAATTAATAGTTTATGACATGAAAATAAAAGAATGAATATATATTATACAGCACTCACTTGAGAAAATATAGAGTTAAATCCAATATTATAGATGTGTTAGACAATATAAGAAAATAGGTCAGGTACTTTTTGTTAAATTATGATAAAAACTAAATGTCTGGGGACTAAAATAAACCAGAAAGAAACTAAAGAAGCAAATTAATTACCTAATAATATATGTAATTATACTTAAAAATGTAATTCTTTATGTGTATATGGAAAGAATGTGTGAGAAAAATATGAGGCGAGATTACAAGTTTAGTCCTTGAATCTTTAAGTTCGTGTCACATAAATTATTTAACTTTGAAAAATATCTAATAAGTTTCCATCCTTTCATTATTCTTATGTGATTAATGGGTCATTGAACTTTAAAAGTATCTAATAGTAGTTATAGGTCACTAAGGGCTCGTTTGGTAATATTCCCGTTTCTTGTTTCTCGTTTCCAATTTTCTTAAGAAATCTAAGTATTTTTTAACTAACTTTGTTTTTTGTTTCTCCTTTTTTAGGAACATTCTTTGTATAGAAATTTTGGAAACAACCAAAACTAATTTCTCCTTTCTTGTTCCCATTTCCAAATTCGTCCAAAACATAAATAAAAAAAATATTTATATCATACTTGAATTCTTAGAGGTTGAACCATGCGATACATTTTTCTTCATTAAAAAGAAAGAAACGGAAACAAAAAAATAGAAACGTTACCAAACGAATCCTAAACTTTCAATTTTGTGTCTAGTATGTCTATGAACTAAAAAAGTGTCAAGTCCATGAACTTTAAATTTTGTATCTATTACACATTTTCTATAATTCAAGTGCCATTTTAGACACAAAATTCAAAGATCACAGTTACTATTAGACACAAAATTTAACTGTATATCTATAAGCTCATGAATTTAAAAAAAAAAATTAAAAAATATACTTGGTTCCTGTACTTTGGTTAAGGTAGTGATTTAGTCTATAAATTTTAGCTTGTAACGGTACTTTCAAATGACCAACAATTTAGTCCTTGAATTTTAGTATTTAACAACTTTGTCCCTATAGTTTAAAATTTCAATTGAGTACCTAACGTGATTTAGTCTTTGTAATTTATAAATACATTTGGTCCCTTATCTATTTATCAATCTACACATATAAGAAAATTAACCAAGATTTTCACAATAGGGACCAAATCGTTATAAACTTTAAACTATGTGACTAAATTGTTACACTAAAGTTCACGGGATTAAATTGTTACCAATTTGAAAGAATAAAAACTAAATCGTTGCCAACTAAAGTTTAGAAGTTAAATTGTTACTTTAGCGAAAGTACAAGGATCGTACCAAACGTGTTTTTTAACCATTTAAAAAAATGTCAAATACGTTAGGAATCCACTATACACAAAATTAAAAGTCATACTTTTTTCTAAAATTAAATGGATATATTAAACACAACCCTAAAATCTTAACACCGAACTTGATATTATTATTTATTATTTGTATTAAGTTAATCAAATTGTGGAGCTGACTTATTGAATATATGAAATGGAACTTTGATGCAAAATCCCACTATCTAATTATATAATTCGGAAAGTTTTCTTTGTTATAGTTTC